ATATATACAGCATCAATAAACTTCCCAGACTGGTAATGTGAAAACACTCTATCGATTATAAATCCCCTTTGGGGATACTCATCAAAACTGGTTAGGTCCTATTAAACCATGAATTCTGTCCTTTTAGCATTTCATTTTCCACTCGAATGGGTTTAAAATTGCCGCCTCATTATGTTGGCCATGTTTACTAAACACTTGAATCTTTCAATTGGAAAAATCTGGCCAGTTATTTTGAAGCAATGTTTAATTGTGCCTAACAATGGCCACTCAAATGGTCAAGGGCCTTTACTGAGCCAGTACTTTGGCTGCTGATTGGGGATGTTTTGGAATCTACAGTTGTTGTTTTGTTTTTGTTTTTTTTGTTTTTTTTTCTGAGAGTGAAGTCATTGGCACCCCTAGAAATTCTTCTGAACAAAATTTTACTGAAATGTGATCCCATCTATATTTAACCTTTTTAGGCCCACGTGAGTAAAACATACTGAGTGCTTGGTATGAGGCACCTGAGTTAAACATACTGAGTGGTCAGTGTGAGGCCCACCTAAGTAAAATATACTGTGTGTTCAAATGAGGCCCACCTGAGTAAGACATTCTGAGTGTTCAGTATGAGGCCCACCTGAGTAAAACATTCTGAGTGTTCAGGAACTCATAGGCAGTCATCCATGTCTTCCTGTTTCACTGGAGTTAAAATTTGAGGTGACATAAAGGTCAAATTCCCTTCATTCATCAACATGAAGAAGATTAGAGACTACACAAATGAGCTGTCTGATAATGCCCATACCCACTGTTAGGTCAATAATTAAAAAGTTTTAAACAATCAGAGCTGTAATGAACCTGCCCAGAAGAGGACACAAGCGTATTTTGACTCCACTCAGTGAGGAGGATGGTTAGAGAGGCCAAAATTTCTCCATGAATCACAGTTGGAGATTTGCAGATGATGGTGGGATTCAGGGGTCACCAAGCCTCTGTGCCAACAAAGTATTCAAAAGCCTGTTGGAACAAAGCCTTCTTACAACTGACTGCAAATGTAAGCACTTGGAGATCGCTAGACACTACTAGACCTTTCACCAGAACTGGGTTCTAAGGTCAGAGGAGACAAAAATATAGCTCTTTATTTATCTTTTTTGGTTAATTTAACACAAGTTTTTTGTAATGTTTTATGATTTTACATTTCTCAAATGCACACACAGGCCTCTGTTATTTTCTGGTTACAAAAAGTAACAATATATTCATTCTGAAAATGTCATTATTTTTACACTTACAGCTTTAGGGGTCTCTGGCACTCCAAAAAGTAAGGTAAAGCAAGGCTCTAAAGCAACAGTACATTAGGGGGTTAAATAAATGTTATTTGTACAAATTGGCATTCCACCGATTTTTCAAAGTTCTGCAAAATTCATTCTATAAGATGTAAAAAAGTCAGAGTGGTTTGATGTAAATTGCTGTTTTGGAGAAACTTACTGAGTCAGAATTGTTCACAGTGGTGGCGATAGGAACCAGATGTCCAAAGAGTTCAATGGTCAGGTTTTTACACTAAATGGCAACAAATTTGCTGCCTGATGGCTGAGGCATTGTTTTATGATAGGACTGAGAGAAAGATTTGATTTGAAAATATATTTTTTAAATTCTGTTTAGGGTAAAGAGGTACCTACAGGGTGGTGTGAGGCAAAATAGACCCCAAAGAAAACTTTTGTTTTCACGTGACTTTTTTAATTAATATCAACATTACATAAAAAGCTCAGAGGACACATAAAGGTTCATTGATTGTTTTGAATAGTAAATAAAATGGCTGGATTTGCATTGTAGACTTCGCAACCCATAGTTCTGATCACCACCACTGAGCCCAAAAGTTTCTCTGCAACAAATTATTTCACATCACACCACTCTGAATGACTTTGTTTACATCTCTACCTCTGAATTATTTGGAAATTCTGAAAAATCATTGAAATGTAATTTAAGTGTTTCATGAAAAAATAACTCTGCTTGTTCAACGTTAGGCCTAAATGCAAGGTGAGGCAAACTACCTTGAAAAAAAAGTGATGGCTAAATATGGAATACACTGCCCTAAACGTGTTTAATAATGTATTCAGTTACAATACAGAAAAAAACTAATGTATTCAGAATACATTCAGAATACATTTACCATGCGTCTTTGTAAGGCAGATGGGAAAAAGATATATATTTTTTCCATTCTGTTCCTTGCTGTTACTGGTTGGCATTTTTCTTCATGTTTTTCATCTTGTTAATGCATTTCAATAAAAACTCCGATCATTTAAAATTAAACTTGTAACTTTTCTCTCTCTCTCACCACCTCATCCAGTCTACTGCTGCTCCCACATTCCCCCGAGCAGAAGTACAGTACAAACATATCATTTGCAAACATGTCCAGTACTGAGAAAATTACTAGTATGATCATTTCTTTAAAGGAGCTCAGTAACACTAAGATTAATGACTGATTCATTACACTGATTTATCATTTACACAGAGCTCAGCAACCCTGAGATTAATGCCTGGCTCATCACAATGATTTATCAGTCTACTCAGGCTTTAGCAGGAACAAGCATGCATGCTACATTTGTGCACTGATTCTAAAATAGTTCATAAACAAGCATTGATAGTGTTTCTTTTTCATAGAGTATATTATAGTGACCCTATACTGGCTAATGCTGGCCTCTAGAGGTGTTTATTATCGGGGAGTGGATTTAGTTAGTGTGGGTTGGTGGTCACAGTGAGGGTGAAGCCTGTGGTTAGTGACTTAGTGTTTAATAGAGTGTGCTCATATGGGTGTTTCACTGCATGGATGGGTTAAATGCGGAGGTCAAGTTCCCCTGTGCGCAAGGACAATTGGTCAATGGTTTTAAATTGTTTTTAAAACCATTTTTTTTTATTTAGTGCTAAACATTCTTAGTATTCTGCTAAAATGTAAAAAGCAACTGTATTTTGAATACAGTCTTTACAAAATGTATCTAGAAGTGAATACAAATACTCAATTTCTGTATTCTGAATACATTCCCAATACTTGTATTCCTTGTAGGGGTGCATTGCTTACAAGGCACTGTATGTCTGTCAAAGAGACAGAGAGAGAGAGAGAGAGAGAGAGAGAGAGGCTTCCCCGCGCACTGACTGAAGGGGGAGTGTCAGCCTCCGTGCTGCTGCTGGGCTGCTGTTCATTCTCACCGCTGTGATTCAGGATTAAAGCAGCAAAACAAGCGAAAAGGCCCACAAATCACAGTGAGTAGTCATTTAAAAGCGCTACGCGTTTTCCATCCCGTGACATTCCAGGGTTAATGTTAAATCCGGTTGATTTACCGCTGGAATATCAGCGTCCCGAGGTGTCGACACCCTGAACAGATCGGCTTTACTGAGTGGATCATTCGGCCGCGTATGAATTATTGTTCGACTCGGACGTGCAGAAAACAAACACTCGCTCCTTCTTCACGGTGATGTTATGTGGATGTGATGCCGGATTCTGACTGTGGCGCTTAGCTGATCTCCAGTTCACTGTATTACAGACAGCTCTGATTATCAATGGGGGATGATTAAATGATTAATAGGCTGTAAATGTCTCGAGCTCATTAAACTGAATTTGGAGATCTCAGTGCTGCTCTCAACTCTGAATGGCTGCTTTGAACGCAGACCTGCTCTTTGGACAGCATAGGGACATTTTCTGTTGTTTCACAGTGAATAATAAGGAGTATATAGTCTGAAGATACATCGTGTTTAGTTTATGCCATTCTCTCTCCAAAATTCATTTCGATGTTTTGTCATAGCTCTAAATATGTGTCCTGATGGAATCTTCTGTTTATACTTAAAGAGGAATTCCAACGATTTTTCAAACATTTCTATAAAATTAGACAGTAGAGATGTAAACAAAATAATTCAGGGATGGTTTGGTGTGAAATGCTTCATTCTATAGAAACTTGCCTGTTTAGGATTGTTCACAATGATGGTGATGGGAACCAGACGTCCAAGTGTTTAATGCCTCTAAAGCTTCCTCACAAAAAGCTAGGGGTGGGCAATATGACAATATTTTATCATTATTGTGATAAATTACATCACAATATGCTTTTCTGAGCATATCGTGGATATCATCAGTACTTAAAGAACACTGGCCAACTTCGTATGTCATTACAAAGAAAGCATAATTAGGCCTGTATAATTAGATTGAGTGCAGTGCAACATGTGAAACATTGAATAAAAATCATTATATTCATAGTTTGTGTTGCAATTTTTAAAAAGCAACATTGCTGGTTCTTTTTATGTCTGTTCTAACTAGTCAAACTAAAAGAAATATCACTGTACATATTATGTATCGTGCAAATGTTTTCAATTATTGTGAATATGAATATGTTGCCTGATGCCTGAGATATTTTTTACAATAGTTTTTACAATAGAGATCAGGTTTTGCCCTAAGACTAAAACTAAAAAACCCAAAGAAAACTTGGTCATTTTGGATAGTAAATGAAATGGCTATATTTGCATTGTAGACATTGCGACCCCTGTTTCCAATCACCACCATTGCAAAGAAATTTGAGTCAGCAAGTTAAAATGTACCATTTCATATTAAACCATTCTGAACCACTTTGTTTACATCTCAATGATTGAAGTATCCCGAAATTTTGCAAGATCAGTTGAATTCCCATTTAACATAGAAGGCTTTTACATCACTGTTGACATTGAGTAAAGCCACTGTAAGTGTATCTAACACTGCTTTGTATCTTCCACAGAAATATGCTTCAGTGTTTCCGTTGACATGCCCATGTGATCAATGGACAGCTGCAAATCAGGAATGTTGAAGCCCAACAGTGTCTCAGACCAAAAAGGGTTAAAGACAGGACTTAAAAATGAATGAGACCTTAAACAAGAAGCTGATATATGAATACAGATGATGCTGCTGTTCAAAGCAAGGAGTTTTCCTAGAACATCTTGATATCAAGATAAAATAAGAATACAACAATGCAGAGTCCAGCCCACTGAGCGCCACTGCTAGCATTCTCTGAGGAACCATGGGTTGTGGAGGTTCTAGGACGGATGCTTTGGAACCACGTTACTTGGAAAGCTGGACAAAAGAGACGGAATCCACATGGCTGACCAGCACAGATGCAGACATACCCCTGTCCTCGATCCACAGCATTCCCTCAGAGAACTCCTCAGAGGTTGGCTTTGCATCTGAGAAAATGGCCAATCCTGGTGAGAAAAGCTTGGAAATCTTAGAAAACATCTGTAGGCTATTTGGCTTATGCCCATTTTTGACAAACACATGGCATGAGTTGGCATGTAAATAATTCTGCAGCACATCATGGCCCTCTGTTTGTAGTCTGTAGGCCTTGATATATTGACCACCTCCTACATTTTCACCAAAATAGTGCAGTGCCATGACAGTGGAGAGTGCCAAGATACCAGTATTGGTGAGCAAGTGATTCCACTAGGCTTCTGTTGCCATGGAGATGGCTTCATCCCTACTGCAGCTCACTACATGAGGATGGTCTACACAATAAGAGCTCCTTATCTTCAAAACCAGAATAATTACTGTGACAAGGCAAACACAATGAATGAAATACTTGAATGGTAACAGGCCCAGATGAAATGCGTGAACAACTTACAAGGAAAGGATGGGGAAGCCTTGATGCTGAGCAGTGCAAAGTAAAATATCTGCCTAGTTCATTTCTAACATTCACTTTTATTCTTCACCATTACTTTCCAGGCTAATGGATTTCACTAAATAGGCATGTAGATGTCAGTATTACAGCTTTGGCTTTATCTTTATGTAATACATAACAAAGCATAGTCTACCACAAAAGCTTAAAGTACAGCTTACTGTATTTTTAGAGTATGTGAATCATCCACCTCCTATCTGACTAGTGTGTACAGCTTAACTAAAGCTCAAAGTTATAACCATTCAGTTGCCTTTACAAAACAGATAGATCTTTGGTAGATCTTGGCTCTAACACTCACCAAGTGTATGAGCAGCCATCCTTACTTTTATCTTTTGTTCACCTCTATCTGCACTGACAGATATCTTTGACGACGGCCTGCCAGCTCCTGCTCAGGCCTATCTGAAGGTGTGTTCTGCCATGTCCGAGGCTGGTCTCAATGATGTCAAAGCTGGTGGTCCTCCTTCAGAATTAACCTCCCAAGACCAAGAAGGATTGTCCTCTCCTGGCACCACAGTGCAGAGGAGAAGTGTCTTATGCACTGAGGAGATTGTAAGAATCTTCACTTTGCACATTCCAGTCAAAAAGTAGCAACATCATATTTAATATTTATTTGATGCAAATGTCCTGCTCATCCAGTGTTTCTTCTGAAATCAAGGGTTTTATTAGAGAGTTTGCACCCCTTTGCTGCAGTCATAGCCTCTACTCTTCTGAGAAGGCTTTACACTAAGTGTTGGAACATTGCTGTGAGGATTTGATTGCATTCAGTCTTAAGAGCATTAGTGAGGTCAGTTACTGATGTTGAGTGATTAGTTCTGGATCACAAATGTCACTCTGACTCATCCCAAAGGTACTGGATGGTGTGTCGGCACCTCCCACCCACCCCATTTTCACTATTCTACTGCCCAAGGCTGGGGGGTCTTTATATGCTTGGCAGTGGACATGGTGACCTGTGGCTCAGAAACATCCTGTTCTTTTGGCAATGCTTTTCTAAGGAGATGAAACAGGCTGTGTGTGCACAATTGATCACCTGTGTCTGCAATGGGTACAAAGTAACCCACTTAAAGTAACTGAACTCACTAATTAGAAAGTGTGTCTAGATACTTTTAGACGTATGGTGTATTACATTAACACAATTGCTGCCAAAAGTAAGCTAAATGAAAGACGAAACTGTGTTGAAACAATATAATTTGTGTGGAAATGAACCATTTGGATCAAGTAAATTCAGTGCATCCCTTTCTAAATATACAGTGTGCTTTCTGAATATTCATTTATAAGGAGGGCCCAGAATCTATATACTGATTCTATATGCTGTACAAAAGTCAGAGACCACCCTTTATTTATTTAATTTTCAGTCAAAATGACCATTAAGTACAAGATACTCATATTTCAGCATAAAAGAAATAAACACTAGTAACACATTAAACAAAAAATGCACAGAAGTCTCAAAAACTAAATATCATATCATATTTTTCAGTATTTAATATGTCCACTTTTTGCCTTTATTACAGCTTCCATTCTTTTCAGGAGACTTGCTTTCAGTTTTTCAAAGAAATATGCAGGGATATTTTTCAGTACCTCCAAAGTTTAGTCTTAGAAGTTGGTTGTATTTTCTGCATCTCACAATCCAAGTATTCTGAAACTCATTCAGTGATGTTGAGATCTGGACTCTGGGTGGTCAGTCTATTGTTTTGGTATCAGGCAGCCAGCAGCTTTTTGTTTGATCTGTGAATTTTTTTTCTATTTTCTTTTCTCAGTAACATCTTCTTGACAGCTACACATCCTTTCAGACTCATAGTGTTAAGTTGTCTCCTCACACTGGAAGGATGGACAGAAACAGCTGTGAGTTTTGGTGGTCCACCAGGTCTTGCATGGTTATTAAAGCCCTCTTTTCTTTATAATTTTATCATTACTTTTTGGAAACTCCTGTTTTTTCACTTATTTTCCTTTGACTTTCCCCTTCCTTACACAAGCAGATTATTTTATATCTAATCTCAGATATACTGCCTGAAAAATGTGTGGGCTGTACTTCATGGCGTTTTGACTGGAAATATACTAAATGAAGGGTGATCTCTGACTTGCACATACTGCACTAGAGTACATAAAATAAGTGGTGACTTCAAAAGTCTTTGATGGTACATGAACAAGAACATATTCTGTCTCGGAAAGGACTGAAAAAGTTCTTCTATGGATTCCAATGTTTGTCTTTCTTTGTTCTCACTCTTAGACCAAGTGGCAAGACAACCGAATGTCTACCAAGCAGGTAACCATCACTGTAACTCAGAGCATTCGTCAAGTGGACAAGAGTGGAAAGATCAAGGAGAAGTCTCACACCACCTGCGAGGTCATGAAACCTCGGGATAGCTTGAAGGAAGCTGCAGTAGACTCTGTTCTGAAATGAGAACGATAACCGAGACAGCAGTTCATGTGGGCTGACATCTGTAGGTCTTCTGCCTTGTGAAAACTGTGATGAACAATAGGCACCATGGACCAAAGAAGAACAGAAGGCAGGTCTGAACTCAATTCTAAGGAAGTACATCAGGCCTGTGATTGGCAATGTAGTCTCAACTGAGAGACTTTATTAGAAAACTTTACATTTTGGTGGTCAGAAGGTTTATCTTGTAATTCACATTTTCGCTAATTTACACCAATTTATGTGTGCTTTTATGCATCCTTATACATTGCTACTTCTTTACTGTAACAGTGGTAGCTGACTCTGATTTAAAATAGTTTGATAAGGATGTTGTAAATGCCACCGTTTTATAAAGGTTTACAAAACAGGGTACATATGGGACAATCAAAAGAATATACCTGAAGACCTCTAAATCCACTTCAAATTTATGATGCATACATTTGCAAAAAGGAATGGTTTGACAAAAAATCTCATTTACATAATTTTCCCCTTACCCCAGTTGTAGTCGATTAGTCAAGACTTGTTTGTTGGAAGTTTAATTATTTACTTCTGCACTGAAGCAACAAGGGTAATATAAAAGAAGCCAAAAATGATTTTGGGCAACAGACATCTATTACCTTTTAGCTACATTAGCCTCCAGAGCAAAATGAAAAAAGAAGCATTAGAAACCAAACAGGTCTTGGCTGATCAACTACATTCAGGAAAGGGGGAAATTGTGTAAATTTATTTATTTTTTTAACTGCATCATTATTTTAACTGACGAACACATTTTGCACCTGAAGTTTAGTACTGCGCTAAAGTCAGAAACTTTCATGTATTTAATTTCCAGTCAAAACTTACTCATTTTTTAGCATTAGAAAAGAGTGAACATTTAACAGAAAATTAAACAGAAGCCTCCAGAGTTAAATATCATTTAGTGCGTTCACTCATTCTCTTTATTACAGCTTTATTCTCTTGCTTTCAATTTTTCAAAGGAATATACGGGGATACTGTTCCACAGCTCCAAAGTTCAGTCTTAGTAGTTGGTTGCTTGTTCTGCTTCTTACAATCCAAGTAATTCCAAACAAATAATGTTGAGGTCTGGACTTTGGGGTGGTCAGTCCTTTGTTCTGAGAACACCAGCAGCTTCTTTGGTTGATTTGCAAGCTATTTCCTTTTCTCAGTAATGGCTTTTTGACAGCTACACATCCTTTCAGACTCAGACTCAGGCTTCTCACAGTGGAAGGATGGACAGAGAGAAACACCTGTGGATTTTTTCAGATCTTAAGTAAGAGTGGAGCTTGATTTTCTCCTCTCTCTCAAAGATGAAAGCGTTAAGTACTGTTTATCTGATGGTGACAGTTTTGGTGGTCTACCAGGTCTTACATCATTCTTAGGAAATCCCAGTCTTTTAATTATATTTTGAACTCTAAGTTTGGAGAAAAACTCCTGTTTTTTCAGTTATTTTACTTCGAGTTTCCCCTTCTTTATGCAAGTGAACTTCATCTAATCTCCTGAACAATGAATAACTTGTACTTAATAACCGTTTTGACCGGAAATTATATAAATGAAGGGTGATGACTTTTATGCAGCACTGTATGTGGGTGTATCCTCTTAAACTAGAGTACCTCTTGATGTTTTGACAATGTTTTCACTTTTGCCAAAAGGGCAAAAGCTATCTTAATGAGGGATGTATGAATCAAACCAAAACAACAACAGTGACTATTCATGACTTCTGTCAGAACATTATAGCACCATGCTGTGCTCACTTCATTCATAAATGCTGTTAAACAGAAATTCTATTTTTTAACTTAATGTTCAATGCTTAAGTTTTCTAAGTTGAAATTTTTGTTTTAAATGTTGTGTTAATGAGATCCAAAGGTTTGTGTTGTGTGTTCTCAGTAGTCCTTTTTGCTGTGTTTATTACAGATGAGATCATGTGCTTTGACCAGCTCAGAGTGAAAAGATGTTTGTCTAAAAGCCTTAAAACAAGTTATCTAGCCTCCCATAAATCCGGCATGCGTCTGTCAGTAACTTGCTGATTGTGTATGAAGTGACCTAATATTCAATGCTACAAATGGAACCATCTATAGAATACGGTCTATCTTTTACAATGATTTCATGTCAGAACTTTACAGTTGGTCAAAGAAGGTGTTTCTGTCTATTCAAATGAATTTATGTGTTAAGTAAAACAAATTAAACAAGTCTAATTTGTCCAATAAAAAAGAAACTGAATCAGATTCCACCTCATGAGTCTCCAATTGTGCTGTTTTCAGCAAACAGCATCTCTCATATTATGACTATCTGACAGTGAATACACAAGCTGATTCTAATAATGAAGCAGCGGTTTGTTTAAGTTCATCTTGTTGCATAAGAAAGAGTATAATAAAACTAAAGGATTAAAGGGATTCATAGTTTCATTACAAGAGATTAAACGCATTTAAAAAGACCAATTAAAATGCAATACAGTGTGTATTTATTACACGGTACTTTAAAACTGAACACAAACAAGTCTAATTTGTCCAATAAAAAAGAAACTGAATCAGATTCCACCTCATGAGTCTCCAATTGTTAAAATGAAATTGTATTGTTTAAATGAAAATGGTCAGAATAGAGATTTTTGATGGGTTAAAAACACAACTGTATATACAAAGGCAAGGGACACTGACTCTCTTACTCATCAAAAAGGCAGATGAATAAATAAATAGAAAGAGGGCAGTCTTCAATGATGTACAATCTACTCTGCACCTCTACTCTTCCTACCATATGGAAACAAGCAGAGGTTTGAGCATGCTTGCAGTGCGTGAAATCAAGTGCCACCAGCACCTCATTTAAATAACATTTACATGAAGCACACCCTAATTCATGTAGATGCTTTGATAGGGAGCCAATAAAACGACAGCATTCAGCAGCTCGAAGGGACAATGGCTATGCTCGTAGGTGGAGTTAGAGGTGGAGCAGTGAGTGCACTGCTCTCCTTACTGACCAAAGTTTATAGTGTAAAAATTACAGGAACTGGAAAGAATGAATGTAAAATAAATAAAACTAGATGATAAAATAATCTGATTATTTTCCTAAAATAACAAACAAAATATTTGCAATTTTTTTTATAGCCGTGCATATAAAATAAGTGCATCCATTTTTGTACTGGATTATAGTGCACAAATCAGTAGTATTTTTGTTATTTTCTATTTTATTTTCCCTTTTATTGGTATTACGGATGAAATGATTATGGTTTGGTCAGTTAACTAGTTGTTAAAGTATTACACCCAAATTTACTCAAACTCATAACAGACGTGAGTTTAATCGCACAGATACACCAAAGATAACATGGATAAAATCGAAAAACTTTCAGTAAAATTTGTATGCGCTTATTGCACAATCAGATTCGATCATATGCAACATTGATGAATAAGGGCCAGTGTTTAACTGCCCGTTTAATGACTGTGCTGTTTTGTTTAGAATGCATAACAGAAAACTCCACTGGACCATTATGATCATTAAGTTCTTTTCCACACTGATTCTGGTTTAGCTAAGAACAAGGTGTTCTGGACAATCAGTGAAGACGACAAATGACACACCACATCTAAAAATGTAATAGCAAAAGTGTGTGAGTGCTCACATGAATCCGAGATGACGGCACAGCAATGTGACAAACAGTAACACATTAACGGGGAACAAGAAAAGCACTTGGGTCTTTATGGCCATTCGTTCAGTCTTTGGTCAAGGCAGCGGGATAGTCAAGTATGTTTTAGTGGGTTATGGATTTGTCTCTGCTGATCATACTCCATATGCCCCGCCCTTAAGCATGGCTCCTCTTTCTCCAGCCACTGCTCGATGCTGAATTCCGGAAAGAAGAAGGCAATCTCTCTCTGGGCTGACTCCTCTGAATCTGTCGGAGCACAAGTCATCTTTAATTAGCCAAGCTGAAAAGCAGAGAGACGAGCAAAAGTAGTGCTGCTGTCAGCATTACTCACAGGCAACAGATTACAAGAAACACAGTCAATATCTTTAAACAAATAAATAAACAATCCCATGGCCATGTCTAATCTGCGCAAACTTGCATTTTGCAGCCTGTGAGAGGGTTGCCTATCCTATTAACACCCGTGTGCAAGAAATTGTTCAGTGAACAGTGTATAAACTGCAGACTATTGGTCCTTTGGAAAATCAATTCGTAGCTTGTTGAAAAAAGCAAGAACACAGACCACTGCTGCCTCATCGTACTCAATATTTGAGAAGGCCTGGGGGGAGGCTTTATGTTTTCAGCAAACAGCATCTCTCATATTATGACTATCTGACAGTGAATACACAAGCTGATTCTAATAATGAAGCAGCAGTTTGTTTAAGTTCATCTTGTTGCATAAGAAAGAGTATAATAAAACTAAAGGATTAAAGGGATTCATAGTTTCATTACAAGAGATTAAACGCATTTAAAAAGACCAATTAAAATGCAATACAGTGTGTATTTATTACACGGTACTTTAAAACTGAACACATACTGACACATCGTTGCTTTGTCTGCCCTCTCTAATCTAAGTCTGTCTGCATGTTCAATGAAAAGTGCCAAATGAAATGTGTATAAATGCTCCTATAGTTGTGCACAAAAGTTTGAACGCCCCACTCAAATTCCATGCTTTGTTGATTTTCTAAGTAAAAGTAAGTTAACACACACTTCTGCACAGTTTAATGCACAATTACAGCTTATAATAAATTTAACATGGGAAAAAAAACAAAATACATCTGGTGCAAAAGTTATGGCATATTTTATGTTTTGTTTTTTTTTTCTAAATGATAAAAGCAAATAAAATTTGCACTAAATTTGCAGACAAAGGTGTTCTCTGTTGAGAATGTGTTCACGTATTTTCACTTAGAAAATTAACAAAGTATGTAATTTGACTGGGGGGATAACTTTTGCATACAACTGTATGTGAATTTATTCATCTATGTCCATCAGAAAATGTGAACAACTAGCAATTACAACCAGGTTTACAAACAGAAACTCAAAATGATCCCAATCACTAACTGAAAGGCGAGTAAATTTATTCAAACATTGGTGGGACAAACATTTGTGTTCTCTTCCTTTATGTGGGTATTTAGTTAGTATCTAGTATTTTAGTTGGGTAAGGATGTTGTTGTGTGTCTGTTCTTTTGTATGACAGCTTGAAGTCTTCTAGGCAAGAAATTGTTCTTGCAGGTGTTCAACACTTTCTGTTTCTTTCATTTTTCCACACTTCATTTTTGGATTTTCAATGCACCTGCAATCTTTTTCACACGCATTTTTTTTTATAACCAAGAGACAATATCCTCAAATTTAAGGTTAATTCAACTCAACACTGAAGTTTTCTAAAGTAGCATTCTCTTTAGAATGTTAATGAGATTTTGAGAAAGGTGTGTTGGATGGTGGTTTTTCAGGAGCAGCACTGCACGATATAGTTGGAACATGACGTGTACAGTTGGATTAGTGTCCCACATTTTTTGAAGTAAAGTAAAATGGGGCATTAAGTGAAACTTTTCTAGTTCACTACTGTTTAGTTGGACCTATAACTAACTATAGAGCTGAAATAATGGACTTTTGAATATGGTGAAGCACAATTTCCATAATACATTAATACATTTATTCCAAGGTGTCCAAGATTATAGATATTTTCGACTCACAGACGGGTCAAACCAGCATATCCGTCAGTACATTTCACATGCAGCACTTACACTGTGTCCAGATATTTGCTGATTTTGATCTGTCATGCTGCTTTGTCACGTCTTAAGTTTGTCTGTTTGTTTGTTTGGAAATACCTGAACCGTGAGTGGTGTTCCTGGTGTCAGTGAGCCCATATTGGGCCCGAATGGTGCTTGGTGAGGTGTATCGCGCCCGATACACTTTTGTTGGACCCATCAACTCCCGCCAGCGGGCAATAGCATCCTCTCTGGCCAGGATATAAGCTCTCATTGGACCGCTGTAGTGGAAACAAGGTATGTACAATCTTAACCCTGAAATGTAGACTGTAACAACGCATTACCAGTAAAAAGGTAGATCTAGATGTCAAGTCTTTGAATAAAAACACAAACAAGTCTGCAACTCTAAAGCATAACTCCTCATGTATGTGTCTATTTAATTTAAGCAGTAAACACATGACTGAATGGGAAAAGCCAAGAGCATAACCTTGCAAAGCAGCACAAAACAAACTAGAGTTTAGGTACTAGGCGATACTCTACAAGTATAAAGTAATAGTCATACCAAATATTAGCAATATTTTCAGCAATATATTTGTCATACAATCTATTTTGTATCCGTGATGCAAAACAGTGGTGTAAATCTCATGGTATCCATGTTTATAAATCATTTGTCTATAAAGCATTTGTATGTAGAGATAGGATCTTAAAATGATCATAAGACAGTGTATGTTATGTTATCAACAGGCAGCATCCGTACATTGTGCACACATTCAAATAGTTAAAAAGATTTAAAATCAATGAGGTATTTTTTTTTTTAACAGCCTACCATCAACATTAGTCATACCCTGGACTCAACAAGCAGGCTATTCCATTCATACACTACAGAATATCTAAAAGATCTTTTACCAGTCATCGTATTAAATGTAAGATCAACAATATTGTGTTTTGTATTGCAAATGTGTATTTAATGAAGTCATTACATGTCATAGCAGCACATGATTAAATCAATCTTATGCAAATGTTGAGAAGAATATTACTTTTTATTCCTTTCTGGAAAAGTGGTTTCTTTTGGTTAATGTTGATAACTTCAGGTTTATTAGGTTCATTAACGTTATTAATGCAAACTCCATCTAATATCTGGTACAGTAATCATCTGATACTGTGATACAGTGACACATTCAGTAAATACTGTGATACTGAATTTTATCAGTTTGGTCCAGCAAGTCCCATTAGGTGGTGTCCTGATATTCCATCTTTGTTTTCGCAGGCAACAAGACATCCAAAGGACTGGCTGCCATGGTAACACGGCTTTCGCAAGCTAAACTAGACTGAAAGCAAGCCCCATTAGCAAAGACTATTTTGGCTCCCCACCAGAAAGCAGAGATTAGTTTCAATCTTATATTCCAAAAAAAAAAATAAAAAAACATCTCACAATATACACTCACATTTTCTCATGTTCTTAATAATCCACATGCTTAGTGAGTAGTTCATTTATTTTTGCACAGAATATACAAACCAAAGAAGACACCAGTTTCATAACCCTGCTGCCCGACACTGCCCTCCCTGAAGTGGAATATTCCGTAGACCGCACTGTGGGTGAGGAGCTGGTGAGAAATAAGATCATAATTAGACGATGGTTCACACTTACCTCGACATGAATTCAACTAGTCGCTGGTAGAAGAACCGTCCTACAAAAGACAAACAGGTTAGTGAAAGGTTGCAGGTAGGTGAGCGGTTAGCCTGCCAGTATGACCTGACATGGGGAGCAAGGCAGCAACAAATTTGTACTTCAAAGAGATGCAGCACAGCTTCTCCTAGAGGCGAATATCTTCCAAAGCTGGTGATTCAATATCAGGTTGGATCTAGAGTCTGTTGAACTGTGCTGATATGACTCAGCTGCTGATCCAAAACCATAGATTACACAAATGGCTGTCTCTTCTTCAATCTGTTATAACTAATGACAGTTACTGTCAATCAATTCTCCAAGGAACAAACAGATGCTCACGGAAGGCAGTAAACAGTGTGAGTGACACTGATGTCACTTTGTAGTCATGAGGAGCGTTTTGTTGTCATTCTTATCAACACATGAATCTGAATAATATAGGCTGGTAAGCCATCTGGACATGACAGCTAATACAGACACATAGGGCTATATACAGTATATCATCTATATCGGTATACCATGACATTGCAATACTATCATATTGTTTTCACGTTGTAGCAATATTTTTAGCAATATATTTGATAGTTAACGCATGAAATAAAGTCTGTACCTAGCGCTGTCCCTGTAGCCAAGAGGTTTGTTTTTTGATTTTTTTATTTGGGCTTTACTCTTGGTCTAGTGTATGTATCCATTTACTGGGTGCTTTTGTTTGTTTTGAAAGAACAGTTAAAATTGATTCCTTCTGGGCATGTGCTTTCTGTCCGGTGAACATTTGTAATACTGTGCAAGATTCTTTTTTGTGTCATTTTCGAAAAAGAAAACAGAACAAAACTGTCAACAAGCTGCTGTATTGAATTTGTAAGACGATCCTAAAGAGAAATTCCACCTTTTTTAATTTTCTGCATAATTTAATGGTTAAAATGCGAGCAAAGTCAATGAAAGTGGTTTATCGTGAAATGCTCCATGAAATTTAGTCAGAATTGTTCACAGATAGGAACAATAGGAACCACACATCTGAACACTTCAATGCCTCTAAAAGCTCCATCACAGAAAGTTACTATATGAAATGGTTGAGAATACGCTGCCTGATGCCTGAGACATTGTTTTACAATAGTTTTGAGATTTTCCCCTAAAACATTTGTTTTTAATCTAATCATGGCGGAAAGCAACATGCGAAGTGTTGTAGGGCAAAACAGTCTCCTAAGAAAACATATTTTTTCAGATTTACTACTATTTTTCCATTATCTCAGAAGACACATGTAGGTTCACTGGTGGTTTTGGATAATCAATAAAATGGCTATTCGTCATTAGTACTCAGTAGCCCAGATTCCTGCCACTGCCACTTTCAGCACAACCAAATTAAACAGAATTAGCCAGAACCGAACAGAACACAATTCAGCAAACAGTATTAATGTATAATACTTTACAGGTTACTATTTGTGGTGTAGGGAATTGCCAATTTTAAAGCACATCCGATACAATGCTTGGGGCATCCTTGCTTTGCTTTTTTCTTTATTTTGAAGAACTGTTGTTTTAAAGTAATAGAACGCTCAAGGTCATGTGTTATTGTGAACGGTAACACGGCTGTGATTATCTACAGTGTTCACCTTCAGCTCATGCCTGCCACTGAATGTGATTATGCACAATAACACACTCCCCCTCGTTCTATTGCTTAAATATCATGATACTGGATTTTATCAATATCGCTCAGCCCTACTGACACATAGCAAAAATGGTTAGTATTAGTGTTCTGGTGAAAACATTCAAAAACACGCCAGCAATCATTTCAGGTTTTCTTGTTACTCTCAGTAAAATCCTAACTGTGATTTGGACATGATGATCTTCTTCCAGTGGTAAAACAAACAAACACCAATAGCTTTTCTCATGCCACACTGAACAGACTAATTTCATTTTTATTTGTCAGAAACATTCTGCTGATGTGGTTGCTGGAGATCTAGTTTGATTATATTTGTGGATATATTTGTGGATTTGTGGCGTCTCATCAACATGTCCATCAGTGAATACCAATAATCAATAAAATGAAATTAAATATGTTAAAAATAATATAAATTATTAGAATACAATATGTATTGAATACAGTTAAGCAGGACACTATTTAACATTTACATATTTACATTGTGAAAATGTGATGTATGTGAAATGCATGTTGTCCACAGTCTATGAGAGTAAAGACGTACCTTCATGTTCTGCATAAAACCTCTCAGAATCACTTCTTCTCCACATCAAGTCTTTCTTTCTGACAATGAAGAAGTTGTTCTCTAGAATTTTCTGATGAAGAGCCTTAAATATAAAACAGAGAAGGATTCATAATGTTTTAATCCATGTTGAAATGTTTTAACATTCAAATTCAATTCTTATTAGTCAAAGTAACAAAATGAAAATGTTTAAATTCTCTATCAAACTAATTATTAAGGCGGTGCAAGCATGGCACGATTTCACTGTTTAAATTTAAGAAAGAGATTTAATTTAATTTAATATCATATAATCAATCAATTAAATATTTATAATCTTAAGGTTTAACCATTTTCAGGGTATTTCAAACTGCATAGAAAGCCTAAAAATTATATGTACAACAAAACAGGCCCACTTTAAATCTACGGATATCAGAACTGTCTCAGTTAGGCTGGTCCTGCTCATTTCCATCTGCATCCACCTGCACAGATCAAAGGCTGCTGGCTAGAGCAACACAGTCCAAACGCTCCACTAAACTTTGATAATTAAAGACACTTTTATCTCTTTGAAGCTGCACACTGCGGAAATGAAATGGGGGAGGCTGAGATGAGTGTTAATAGCCTTCCTTCATGTTCATGGAAATAGCCTAGAGACAGCTTCACAAGTTTTCAGTACATGATTGTCTGCTACAAGATAAAGACATATGTGGAGCTCCAAGTGCCGAAACTACGCAGACAAGCTTCTCGAATATAGTAATAGGTGTAAAAAAGCAAACTTTTAATATATGCTGAATTAATATGCTATGAACCATTTCTGACCATTCCAATATTCTCTTTGACACTATTTCCCTTTTGTTATAAAGAACAAAGGTATATCCATGGCATTCTCTATCATATTGAAAGCCTTTTACTGTAGCATGGCAATGAACAGAAAAGCTCCCAGTGTGTTCCAGTGTGAGACCTCATTAAGGAGGGTGATGAAGGCTCATGCTGAAACGCGTTGAGAGATTGTGTGTCCATAGGCATGAAGGCTTTTTAACTTAATGGAGAGCACCATGTACATTCACTTGTTCTTAAGCTTTTGAACCCCTCTCCATTATTTTATGTGTGCATTTATTTCCCTACCAATAGTGCTCAGTATATTTGTACTTTTTTGAAGATCACTTCTGCTTTTATTCTATTACAGTATAACAAATGACTGGTACAGCTGTCCCGGACAACTGAGCACACTGTTCTTACAGACATACTGTGGAAAATATGAACTGTGTGCATGTATTTTCTTCTTTGTTAGTAGAAAATGTAGATGTAGTATGTAGAAAAAGCAGACAATTTCCATGTACAGTTTATAGGAGACGAAACAAAATACGTTCCAATTGATTGTACTCGGTCTGCCTACCCTTCATTTTACTACTCTGTGTAGAGTCTGTTTCCATGGAATCGTGCAGCACATTTTTAAAAGCCAATCAGAAAGTGATGTATACATAATCATATCCAAATAACCAGCAAACAGGCTGCAGGTTAGCTTGCCAGCTGAAACAGTTATCCATCTTTTCTAGTAGTACCCATATTTTAAAAGACTGTGCAAAGACATATCTAGATTTGTTGTTGATCAGTTGTGTGAAGATTTCTGCCTGTTGCAGAAGGATGCAGTGCTTGGGTTCCTTGATTATGACAAAAACAGACAACAGCAGTATTACTTAAAGGTGTTTTGCCTCCTTACTCAAAATGTTATACTAGCAGGAAGTATGTGATTACCTTTATACTTCTGCTTCAGTCCAACATTTATTAGGCACTGCAGAGTGAATAAAATGACCTCTAAATTTTTCATTTTCTTGTACACTGCCCCCTAACCTCTGACTAGGAATTACACTTTATTTGATGTGATCTTAAAGGTTACAGATAATACTAATTGACCACAGTGAATTATAATTCATTATAGAATCAGAATCTAATTCTTATCTTGCATATTCATGACCTGTGAAATTAACTGACCCTCACACACTTCACACACTCCACATCGCTCTACATGAGTAACGCTATAGCCCCTATGAGATTTACAAATGCTCAGTTTTTGGATGCATGAGTGAAAATAGTCACTCTCTGCATTCTATTCCAAATAACGAAATCAAATCAAAATGGCTCAATTTTCTTTCTGACGTTGAAGTGAAGTGATTTATTGCCTACTCATTTGAAAACCAGGCTCAACACAGCTCCAGATATGCCAGATGACTCAAGCTGAAAGGAACAGCTTTCCCAACACTTACTGGAGTTAGTGTGGATGATAAGATGGTAAATCTTTATTTTTAAATAACAGTCATTGTTTTCATTCAATGGTTTATTCAATAAGGTAGCTAGCAATGAGAATTTAGTGTGATGCGCAGGCTAACGTTAACTAGCTAATGTTGTCTAATTTAGCTTGCTAACATTAACGTTAACATTACCTACCTGCCTTCAAATGTTTTGCATCTAAGATGCAATACAGCTATAAATGTATTTTTATAATGTTATGTGATATGATACACTGACATTTTTGAAACTGACAATAGTCATTGAGTTTCCCCTGTTTAGTTCTATCTCGTTATAGTTAAAGCCTAACAGACAAGTCTTGGTCAATGGTGGAATCTATACCATGACCCCAAAAAAATGCTAATCTAATTCTCTGGGTAAATTAAAGTGATTAATATGTAAGAAATGTACGTTCTTAAGCTCTTAAAATATGAAGTGTGGCGTCCTCTAATTTAACCAGAGAATTTGATTAGCCTCAGTTTAATCAGGGCGTGGATTCTTGGCCATTGACCGAGACCATCTGACACAGAGGCTGTGAATCAATCCGCTGGGGTCCACACCCACAAAACAGAATGTAAAAGGTGACAGAGAAAAAAAAAGAACATACAAAACACTCCTTTTGGGGAAATTTTTAAAAGCAACTTAAATATAAATTATGAAATAAATTAAGTGCTGTTTCTAGCTAAATTTCACATTCATAAATTAAAATATTCAAACTCTAAACCTTCATATTAACGCTCTTGATATTGTTTCATAAGAAGTGTAAATATTTTCTTATTTATGCTTTTTGTTTAATTATATTTTTGATTAAAAGCCCCTGGCTGTTCGACCGTTTTTTTACTTGTATTACTCTACGAAGTTTACATTATAACTAATTAGAACTGATAAGGCGGCCAATCACAGAGAGAGAGAGAGAGAGAGAGAGAGAGAGAGAGAGAGAGAGAGAGAGAGAGAGAGAGAGAGAGAGAGAGAAAGAGAGAGAAGGTGTTCAGTGCAGTAAACTCAGGCTTTTTTGCACCCACATGCAGTAAAAGCAGGCTGTCTTTGCTCAAGACGTGAAAAACTGACATCGTCTGATCAGCTGTTTAAAGAGGTACAAACACTTTTTTGCAAAAACAAAGCACGCGCGATGCTCACATCCTTCTTTTTCGCTCTCTCTCTCTCTTCACACACATGAGGTTACGGCCGCATCGTATATTAATTTTACGGCCTTTTCTCTCGCCTCACCTCCAGAATGAGAGGATGAGCAACAGCGTCCGGTTTGATGACCGCAAGGGTGAGCTGCAGCACCCTCGCGCACCTCAGCGTGCTCAGAATCATCAGCGGCGCTGGAGACCAAACAGCCGGGAATACGACTCCTCGCTCCCCCTGTATCTAAACTAAACTAACGCGTTATACTTCTGACTTCAGGCTTATATCCAGCCACTGTTCGGCGCTGTTATTAATACGTAAGATAGCTATCATTTCGCACTGCCAAAGACCACCGGATACATTTTAAACCCTCCAAATGCTGCGAATGAGGCGGTAGAAGGCTTTTAGATTAAACTGAGAAATAAAGTTTCGCTCGGTTTATTCAGCGCTTAACAGCGTGAGGCTTCAGGTCTGTATGGGCGCCGCCATCTTGCTATTTCGAAAACAAGCGGATTGGTCCAATCAGAGTTGAGAGTTTCAGAATCGCTCCCACAGTCCTCTGCTGCTGTTCTCCTGCTCCTGCTCTGCTACTGCTGCCCTCCTGTTCTTTTACTGTTAAAGGAACAGGCTAGAGCAGGGGTGCCCAAACATTTCAGGGGCCTAATTTCATTTTTGCAGTCTTTGTGGTGGGCTGAGGGCCAAAAAGATAAAACAGTTTACAAATAAAGAAGACAGGGAGGTTTCAAATTGAGTGCTTTTTATTATAACATTACCCTTTATTTTTTAATAAAGTAATTAAAACATACAATTTTAAATTAAGAAAATAAGAATTTAAAATGGTTTGTTAGATCTTTGGTTATTTTATATTTTACATACATATGTCATCTAAACCGCTTATCCTTCTGGGTCGCGGTGGGGTGCTGGAGCCTATCCCAGCTGTCATTGGGCAGAAGGCGGGATACACCCTGGACAGGTCGCCAATCCATCACAGGGCAATCTTTGGTTATATACTGTGTAAATTGTATTTGTTGTCTCACTGGGTGAGGGGGTGAGGTTAGGGTAAATCAAGCGTCTAGTCTATGGTTTTCCCCAAGAACAAGACTTCCCCAGTTTTCCAAGGTTTTTTGTTTGTTTGTTTTTTTAAACGTGTATTAAAAAAAAAACAATAGGCGTATGAATGCCAATAAGTCTTTTTAAATAATATTTTAGCCTGTTTCTGTTCTGTCACTAGTCCAATGTTCTTTTTGTCTTTCTTTTTTATCTTTTATTTTCTTTTTATTTTTATGCATCTAAAGTAAGATTTGGTATGAAAAATGACCTCCATGGAGCTCTGAGGACATGTTTTCATTTTGTAGTTGGCAGTATACCCAAATAAGGAACTGGAGGTCTAAGCGTTTTTTGTTTGTTTGTTTGTTTTTACACCCATTCAAAAACAAAAATATTCAAAAGCCAATACATTTTGTTCTATATACACTTTTCCAATGAATATCCAATATAACTGGATCCTCTAAATTTTGAAATTACTGTCAACTTCACCAAAATACACCTCACAAACCAGCTAGTCTCATCAAGTGTTGTAGTATAAGTGATTTCATCAGTAGTGGCCCGTATTTTCAGTAGCTGGTGTTATTATATAATGGTGTTCATGTTTAGTAGTAAACTTAATTTATTAATAAGTGACGTCAATTCAATGCGCGTGGGTGTTTGCTGTTTGCATGTAGCAATATTTGTAACACTTACTGAATGACCTCATAATCCAGAGGGTCTCAGTGATATTCTGGGGGGAATATGTGACACAAAACATTTTGGGTTTGTAAGGTTTTTAATACAGGTTGCAATAGTTTAGAGCCAGTGTTCTCTGTTCGTTCATTACTTGTGCATATCACTGATTACAAAAGTTCTGTGGAGCAAGCTTTGGGTTCAAAATGGTCTTGTACAACAGAAGGCAGCAAGCTTAAAAACAGTTCATCTACATCCCATCTTACGTTATCATGAATGAGAATTTTAACATAATCTCTGAACATTTTTGGCATAATATTTTTATTTACAATAGCTTTAGCTTGATAGCTGGCAGTACTGGCTTCAGTTTCCTGTGTTCCTCTGCCTGAGAGGGAGCAAATGGAAATTGGGTACATATAGAAACACAACATTCAAACAAGCACAAAGCAGCACAATAGTAAAGAGTGAGTTATACTATTTCACTATTACCATTTCAGGCTCTTTAACATTTTTTTGTGCTATGTAATTTAGGAGCGCACACAAACATTAAAAAAATGGAAAATGTATCATTATTTATTTTTAGTAGCATGTTTGAGCCTTTGATTATTCTTGATGATTCATGTAAAAATGACTTTTTTCATGAAAATGTTTCACAGAAACAGGAGGATATTTATACTTTTACCTTAATTTATAGATTTTTTCTTTCTTGAGTGACTTGACATTTGTAGAGACAGATAAAGAAAGACAACAGGCTTCACCCAGTTACCTTAGTTCACGTGATCTCAGACATGTGACCTTAACTCCACAGCTGTCGCCTCGTCTCAGGAGAGCTACACTATGAGCTACCAAAGAGCGAGAGCGCTGGAAAAATTAAAGCATTTGGTTCCAGTTTTAGAAGTCTTTAATAAAGGAGAAAATGTCCCATTACAAATATGTTTAATTGAATATGCTGTGAATTTATTAGTGTAATTAATGTAGAGTATATACAGTCATATGCAAACGTTTGGGCACCCCTGGTCAAATGACATGTTTTGTTGCATACCGTGTATTGCGGAATGTAACATTTTAGGGAAAAACACATAAAAGTTTTGACATATTTAATGTTTTTTATTTTTTTCCCAATATGTTGAACTATATGTCCTTATACTAATAGAAATTCTGCACTAAAATTGCAGAAAAATGCAACGTTTAAGTGTGTTCTCTGTAGAGGATATGTACACTTATTTTCGTTCTGAAAATCAGCAAATAATAATTTATTATTTAGTAATTTGACAAGAGATGTTCAAACGTCTGCATTCAACTGTCATACATGTCGCAGTATTTTTGTGTAGTCTTGTCTGGTGCCTGTTTACATAATGTCCACATGCACATAATGTATTACATCATATATATATATATATATATATATATATATATATATATGTATGTATTTAACATATTGGGGAAAAAAAATAAAACATAAAACATGGCCTAAATAGTTGCACATTTTATATTTTTTTTATTTTGTTTTTTTCCAGTATAATAAACTCAGCAAGTAAAGAGAAACTGTGCAGTAAAATTGACAGAAAATGCTTTATTTAAGTTTCCTCCCTGTAGAGGATGTGTCAACTTATTTTCACTTGGAAAATAAATAAAAATGTAATCTGACCAGGGGTGTTTAACTTTTGCATACAACTGTATGTTTATTGTTATTAAAAGATTTGCCATGTTTTTTCATTTGTCAGTTTTCCATGAATTTGCCCATTTTAACCCAGTGAACCCAGTTACCTCTGCATGCCCCTGAACTCGCTGGTCACACATTCATTCTGGGGGCACTGCAGCCTTTACAACGCTGCTGCTGACACCAACTGAAGCCACACACATCCCATTTTGTCACCCTGTGCATTTCATGTCGAAGAGGAGGTGACAGGTTGTCTAAGGTCAGAAGGGCGTTTCCTGTCATATTACCATTTGGTAGGCTGCAGTTCAGCTCTGTTAGCAGCAGTTACTGTTTTCTGTTGATGCAGATCAAGTGTGAAGTGCTTATGTATGAATGTATTAAATACAATGTATTTAATAACATGTAAATGACTGCTGCTTGTAAATAATGTTTGGCAAGCAAACTGTTATTTGGAGAAATGAATTCTATTATGTTTAAATATGTGCATTTACTAAAAGATTTTGTTACTCACTTCAGTGCCCTGCTGTCATCATTTTCTTTCTTTTCATGTCTGTGTTTTTCTCATGGGACAAAATTCTGCCTCTCCGTCACTGACACCTGTTTTAACTTTTACAAGCCTAAATACAGGTCTCCTTTGACCTTTTCTATTCTGATCCCTCCTGGTGTGGGCCTGGACTCAGAGACAGCTGTGTCAAGCTCAGGCCGAGCAACTGCTATCCCCAAGGAAGGAGATCACCTTTAACTCTGAAGTAACTGGTGGCCCAGCAACAGGTCCATATTTGATGTTAGACAAGACCGGATGCAGTAATGAGGTTATCGGATGTACGCTCTTAAAAATAAAGGTTACTAAATGGTTCTTGGCGTAGGTGTACAGTTGGAGAAACCATAACACTCAGCCGTACCATATCACTTAGCTAATGCTCTGTTGTGATGAGAAACCTCTGCTAAAAGAAGTCTAAAAAAAAACAAAAACAAATTTAGGATTTACAAGCATAGAACTTGCATGAAAACAGTTACTTTGAAAGTGGCAATAAACTACATTTTACTTGCATTTCATTTTTAATTGCCTGAGGTCCTCTGTTTGTGTACAAAAACAGCCATAATTCAGTTTTCCATGACCATATTCCAACCTTGCCTTTTCAAAGTCTCTCAAACATGTTTCTTTTCATTGTTTTCTGTGAAGCAATGCGCTCTTTCAGCCAGCGCAATGCACTTTGCACTCCAAAACCTTGCGGTTAAGTTGAAACACCATCAATGTTTGTGATAAAAGCACCATATGTCATCCATAGCTGACCAGTCAACATGGGGAATAACTTCTTAAGTGACTCATCCAACATGGCAGACATCTAGTTTTGGCTGTATTTCAAAACAATGAATTGTATTCTGACTTTTTTCTTTTATTCGTGTTTTTGTTACAGAAATATTATTCACATTTCTATTATTTCTATTATTCACATTTCTATTATTATCGTATTTGTCAGTATCAAATAGTTCTGTTTCTTTCACATTCTCTTAAATCACATTAACCCACACGTAAAGAGTACATCCTGCCTCCCATTTGAATGCTCCCTTACTGTGTCTTTAGCCTTGATGTATGTAAATTTGGGTTTGGTTCAAAAACTTGGTGTAGCTGGTGTAGAGTCTTTATATTGTGTGTACATAACAATTTTTGACAGTGTACTGATTCTGTGTTATTGTTTCTATAATATAAAACTTTATCAGTTAAAACTCAGCTTTGCCCTGCTCACTCAGCCAGATTAGTTCAGTTGGTCACTTCAGTTGAGAGCTTTTACATATTTGTTACAATCAATTATGAATTAATATGCTCTCGGTTTGTTCTTGAGTACGTGAACCATTCAGGTTATTTAGAGATGTCAGTATGTTTCAGTTCTTCTGGCTTTTTAAGATTAATTGCCAACCAGCATATTAGTGTTTGGAAAACCCCAGTTTAAATTACACTATGTACAGTCATATGCAAAGATTTACGCACCCCTGGCCAATTACATGTTTTGTTGATTTTCTAAGCGAAAATAAGTTAATAACACCTCTACTGAGAACAACACACTTTGATATGGTATTTAGTGCAACATTTATATTTATTTTCTGAGTTTAACATACTGGAAAAAATAAAACATAAATTATAAAGTGTGCCAAATCTGTTGCACAGGCCACAGACCAAGTTTTAGTTTTTTACAATGTGTTAAATTCAGCAAATAAGCAGTAATTGTGCATTAAACGGTGTCCTCTGTAATGGATGTGTTAACGTTCACTTAGAAAATTAATAAAATATGTAATTAGACCAGGGACACTCAAACTTTTGCATACGATGAGGTATAAATGGTTTGTGTCTTTAAGCAGAATAAAGGTCCATTCACCTGCTGTAAAAACATCAGTCAGCTGTTAGATGGGAGGCCCCCAAGACAATGCTGAGAATAGGAATGGCTTAAAGCGTTAGCTTAACTGTACAGTTCAGCTCAGATGGGAAGTCAGTGAGGCCCATATTGACATCTGTGTTTCAGGAACAGATCTGGACTTTACATATGCCATCAAAACTGAGACCAGTACACTTTGGGCTGTGCCATCTCAGGGGAAATCACATCACCCTTCTGCCACGAGTGAGAGAGAGAGAGAGAGAGAGCGATGACCTCTGAGAATTCAGAGGGATGCTGGCTGACAAATTCGTGTGACACAGAGGAACAAAGTTATTAGCGCGCTGGGGCCCAGTCTGTGTGGCTGGTTTAAAAATAAACCCACTCACCCAATCTGGCACTGACGTGCCTCGTCGACACTGGCATGGGTTTTCTTTCCCTTTTTTTCTTCCTCTGTTGAGCCCGGGGAACAATTGTTGCCCATTGTTTCCTTAATGCCTTAACCACACATTCACACGAGTGTTTTACAGCTTCCATGTGTTGAGCCATGTGGATGTCTTTCTTTCTTTTTTTCACCTCAAATGAACGTTGAGTAATCTACTGTATTTAACCCATGAAAATAAATCATGTTTCAACAATTGACTTCCCTCATTTTCAGTAGTTTATGATTCAACCAGCATGATAAGATGCTTTGCTAATACAGTATTAGCTCTTCAAAAGCATGCCAAGTAATAGATATACAGAGTCTCCTGCTGAAATATCATATTTTTCATCTAAGTAGGTTAATGGAAACTTTTCATTTGCGGGTATCACATGAAAGACCACAGGAAATAAATAAGATAGGTTGAGTAAGCTTGTCATCCCTGCTGAGGTGAAATGGGCCTGGGATGCTGTTAGTTGCTATTTACGGGAGCTATACACTGTTAAAATAGTGCAGGACATTGGGTTTCAGAGTAAGCCTCTGCTATAGCCATGGCTTTCTGTGAATGGGGCCGGGGCTCCTGTTGCTCGGGTTTATTTTAGAACACAGGTGCTGACTTCAGGGTACTGCCATGCTTGTCGCAGGGGAAAATATACCCACTGGCTAGCTCTCCTGTTTCTCCTCTAGAGCTGAGCTCGTACAACACCAAGTTACAAGGACGAGCAGCAAACTGGGACTTGTTACGAGGCATTGAACAGCCCAATAACATTAAGTGAGGCAAAACAGCTAGACTTGATGAATCACGTCATGAAATGACATTGCTAACCATAATTTCAATGATGGTTGAATGTATCTTATAATGGCCAGCACAAGAATTTAAGGCAATACAACTATATTATACTAAAAGAGTTTTGAAAGGAAAAAAACACACAGCATCAGACTTCCTAATAAAGGTTTTAAAAGTCCAAAGTGTACAAGGTGATTTAAATGTCAGGAACCAGCCAAGACTTAGCTTGTTAGACAGCAGCTTTCAAGATGGCGCAGGGGCTAAAGCAACTTATGTCATACTCCGCAAAAGTCTGAGACCACCCTTCATTTATTAAATTTTTATTTAAAACAGACTTTTAGTACAAGCTATTCATTTTTCAGCATTAGGAAAAAATAGAAAACATATATTTGACAGAAAATTACACAGATGCCTCGACAACTAAATATAATATCATATCTTTTATTACTTAATGCATTCATCTTTCGTCTTTATTACAGCTTCCTATCTTTTCAGGTGGCTTGTTTTTCCAATAAATCTGCAGAGATTTTTTTCCACACCTCCAAAGTTACCAACCCTCTAGACATTGGTTGCATTTTCTGCTTCTCATAATTTAAGTAATGCCAAACACATTCAATGATGTCGAGGTCTGGGCTCTGGCACGGTCAGTCCATTATTTTGAGAAGACCAGCAGTCCCTTGATCTAATTAAATAGTAGCAATGATGAGAACAACATTAAGCATCTTCCAGTTATTTGGGTAGTCCCTGACTTCTGAATCACCCTATATGACATTCTGTATGACAAATCTTTTTAGCCTTGAAGCTAAAGCATTATGGCTTACCTGAGACTATAGAAAGCTTTCAGCTGTACATTTACTGTACAGTTGTTTCCTGGGTGTTGCCTTAGCCTCCTTCACTTTTTTCTCTTTTTCAGAAAGAGCCATTGAAATTCAGCGTAAAAAGGGGAGCGGCGGGTGTAGGGTGTCTCGGGCCGAGTGTGAACAGCTGAGAGGTGTGATTTCACAGGCTCCCTCTGCCCTGTCACGGCCCTGATTGGGCTGGACAGCAGGCACAGGAGAGGCCCAGGCTTCTAAAGGACACCAACAGGTGGGAGGCCGCTGTGGCGGAGGGGAGGAGGGGGCAGCACGAGGGAGCTGGAGCGATAGAAAAGGCCGGGAGTGCGAGGCCATGTCTAGGCAGAATCCACAAGCCGGGCTCAGAGAAGGATGGGCAGGACGCAGCAGGAGAGGGAGGGAGTGAGGGAGGTGTGGAGAGGACCATAATTTATTTAGTAGCCGTTTGTGGTTTGTAGCCTTTAGGAAGAGGTGGTAAACAGGTTTTGGGGGTTTTTGATCTGGCACTTATTCAAAGAATAATCACTTGGCTCTTGAAGGTAGGCCTATTTCTTCTCCAGTTTCAGATGCCAGTTTCCAGGCAATTTGTGGCAAAAAAGGTCAGTTCAAATAGCTACAGTCCTCTACATAAGGGTAGACCAAGAGAAGCTACATTATAAAAAGAATTCTACTAAAAAGGGAGAAGTTATGCTTGAGGATTGGATGGCATCATTCACTTTAACCACAGCAAGAAATGAATCAGTTCTGGATTTGGCGGTATTGCTTGAATTGTCCCTTTATTCTATAATGAACTCAACAAATGCAGGATATGGCACATTTGGCAGGAGCCTTCCATGAAAAAAGGTGCACTGGGAGGAAGCAGAGGTAGGAATGCGTCACCCAGTTCTCACTGAAAGTGTCACTGCTTGCCTTTGATCTGCTATAGGCTTTATCAATTGGCTATTTTCCACACCTTGGTGAGGTAAAAGGCAGAGGTACAGTTCGAGAACGTCATAGGAGCCAACTCTTTGCTACAGAGGGTGGGCCAGATCCAGCAGCCTGACCCACGAAACTTAAGGCGAAAGAAGGGATGGGATACATTTTGTCCTGGAACTCAGAGTAGAAAGGGTCCTCTCCTGCTAAGTAATCCTGGCATACCCCTCTAGCCCGTATTTTGCCTGTGCCAGCTCCATGGCACTGCTGATGGTGACCACGACACTGAGATGTCCGAAGACACTGACATCCTACACAGGTAATCTCCAGTTTCTGTTAGCATTTGGCTTTATGTTATGAATGATTTCTAGACACTTATACTTTTAACTATATTTAACTAGCCTATTTCACTTGGCCTATTTTGCTTTATATAGATACTTTGCATGAATTTCCTCTCAGACATTGTCTACAGTGGCATATGAAAGGACACTTTGTCTGTGACGCTGCGAGGGAAATCCAGTTGTTGCCCCCTGTGAAGACATGCTTCCTTATATCCCCATATGAATAACCCAGTTATGGAATGTAAGGAAGTGTGTGGTTTCGGGGGGACTTTACCGCCAGGCTAAGCAGCTTTACTTTCAGGGCCTACTGTTGTGATATTAATTATACAAGTATATTTATATAATTTGTCATTCTATTTTAGGCATAGGACTATTTATAACCGTTTTGACTGATATGCAAATCTACTTGTATTATTGTACAGCGAGAAAATAGGTGTAAAGCTCATTTAGGTGTAATGTGCCTCATACAGTGGGCAACAAAAGAGGTGCTAATGCTGTTGTTTATGTGGTCCGGTTGGCCATAGGCACGCGCCCGGGGCTTCCACACCCTGATCCCGTCTCACTAAGATAGCCAGAACAGACTGATAGAGCACAGCTGTCCAGCTCCATACTGATCTGTCAGCCTTAACAGGGGTTTCCTACATGTCCCACATGGAGTACATGCTACTTTAAACTCTATGAGACAAGAGATTCAGCTCATCAGGCTCACAGAGTGATTTAAAATGTGCCCTGACTTAGTGAAGTATTTGCTTGATTGATTTGTACCAGCCTCTCATATTTTAACGAATGTATTTTTTGTCATCTCTCTCTTCCAACAGGTAAGTGTCAAGAGTCATTAGAGAGCAACAAAGGCCTATTAGTTGGAAATATCAGCTATTCTTTCTCCTTCTGCCATTCCATCTCTTATAATGAAACAACACACCTTGCTGTGGCTGGTCAAATGGAACCAAGTCAGGTGTTTCTGTGAGGTTTGGTCCCCTTCAACCAGCTACTGCGCTGTGAATTCAGCAAGCAACTCCAGCTAAGCGAGAATCAGCCATTTCAGTTTTTGTACTGGCTATATTAACCATGCTATGTGTACGCCGCTGGTATATGTGTCATTTAAGAAGAATATATTTGAAAGTACTGTCTATTTATATAAAGGTGAGAGGAGTGTATTTTCATATAGTATATATAGTTTATTTGAACATTGTTATTGTGTGCATAATTATCAATGAATAAAAATGATCTTTGTCATTATGAAAGTCTTTTGAGTCTTAAATTCCATATGATAGATGAACAAAAAGAAAGTCATTAAACCATATAAAAAATCATTAAACCATATAAAAACAAATTCTAACTGTTGGCCCTTTAGTTAAGCTTTTGCTATTGAAGTAGATTATCCCATTGATGTCCATATGTGAGATTTTAAATTCCCTGTGGTCCATATGTTCTCTGAGTCTGTTTGAGCACCAATCTGAAGAAAGTTTTGAAACTGAGGTATACTATATGGCTATATTTTATCACTAAATATATTAAATTAAATTCTTTTGACCACATGGGAATATGTTTTGACACAGTAGCAATCCAAATTTGAAAAAATGAAAAATTACATGTAGTGAAATAATTCAAATGAGTGCTTTATGATTTTCATCCAATGTATAATTATACAAAATTTCACTATAGACCCAGCAGAACAGGTTCTGTGGCATTTTTCCTTATACTACTGCTTATACTAAAGTTCTAAATCGTGTGATGTGACCTACTGCATCCCCCTGAACACTTCTGAAGGCATTCCTTCTGTAGTGCAGCTCAAAGGTATGGAGCTTCTTTATAAAAAATAATACATGGCCACAACTTACTAATGCATGGGAATAAGATCCTAAGGCATTGGAATGACTTAATTATTTTGTTCGGACACCTTACTAAGGTATGGCCACACACACATTAGGATCCTGTGGCATGTTATTTTTATTAAAAAAAGGGATGTCACCAGCAGGGATCCATACAAAGGACCTCCAAAATAAACACAATATTAATTAACAAATCTCATCCTGTTCTGTTTGCCAGACATCTACACAGGAAAGCATGAAAGTACTCAGTTTGGTTTTCACAGGCTGTGTGAACTGTGTTCCCATAAGTGCAATGGGACATTATTCCACATGTTTTGGGAATTCAAGATTCAAAATTGTGACAAAACAACATTTACATCTATATTCGGTAGCGATCTGTAGGTGAATAAGTTCACAGTAAACAGTGAACAAACTGATAAATAAAGTCAAGACATTATAAACAAGTCAATACAGATGTCTGCTGGAAATCTGGGATGGGCAATACGATTATTTATATATTTAATTTTTTGATCTGATACCTGGTAATACTGAGGTTACTATACAAATACTAATACAGATACTTTTGTGAAAAAAGGTAAATGGACATCAATGTATATTTGAAATCTAATTAAAATAACCTAATTAATCTAATTGGCAATAAATAAAATGCTGCATAAACTGGCTGTTCAATGTAATGAAGTAATCCTCCATAAAATCACAACCGGCTACATTTTTGTTAAGCAGTAATCTAAATCTCTTTTTTAAACTCAGTGTGTCTTTGAAAGATAGAAAGAGATTCAGATTAATGCTTAAAGAAAATTTGGCCTATTGTATTGTTATTTTTCATGTTGATTATCAAAAGTAACGTATAATATCATGATTAGATATTATTTACTCATCACAAGTGGTAGCCAATAGGTTTTACTATATATTACACAAAGCATGTCCACACTTAACAGATAGTAGAGGGGGCTTAGTGTATTGCTAGGTATCTGTGTTTAACCTCTTCAACTCCTTGAGACCGCCGGTGGTTCCAAAACGCACTTCGTCATTTTCTTTGTAACTTTCATATTTCATAAGCTACATTCAAAAAGTGGGTGTCATATGAGAGCTGTAACTGTCTTCTTTCCAGTCAAATAGATGGGTAATGTAATTTTAAAGCCTTATAGTAGAAGAAGCTGAATTCACAATTTTTTTTGTCTACTTTTTTCCACAAATCTGAGCTATAAACTATAAACAGATGGCATCTCTTCAGTGATCTGCTCTGTAAAAATTATTTTTAAAAAAATAATACAAAGAGCGTCTAAGATTTTTGGCTTTCAGCAGTAAATTGTAAGCATATAGCAATATGTCATAAAACACATTCTGTTAATTTGAGGGGAACTTTTACAAAAAATAAATAAAATAAAAATTTACATTTATTCCATTTAGTTACTGAATAATTTGCCTTACGATTTGGTCATGTAAATTCAGATGGACAAACCAAAATATACTCTGGAGAATAATGAAAAGAGGTTCGTTAATAATATAACCTTAAAACCTGAAGTAAAAGAAGTGACAGAGGGTCGTGTAGTGTCCTATTCCCGCCGCTGGAGGCAGTGCTTCTTCTCAGCAGTTCTCTTCAGGGTCCCCAACGTAATGTCCACCAACTCGAAACATGGCAGATTCAGAGGGAAGAGAGGAGTCTAAACAGACTGGCAGCATCAACCATGCTGCAGGTAAACCAGTGCAGTGGGGTTCTCTTTGTATGTGAAGTTAGTCAAACTGAACAGCGGTATAATCAGTCTTTGAAAGTGTTTTGGACTCTGAGAGGAGAGAACGCGGCTTCAGTAGCTAGGCTAGCTAACGGCGGTCTCGCTAAGTTAGCTGTGAGTGGTGGAAGAGTGACACAGCTGGCTACTGCTACCTTCAGAGGAGAATTGCATCATGCACTGCATCTGTATTTTCAGACAATCACTCTGAGTTATCCCCTGGAAATTTTGTAACGTCAATAGGTATCCATATTAAATGAAATAGAGAGTGTTTTTTCTGTTACTGTGAAAATGAGAGCTAGCTAAGTTAGCTGGTTTGCTAACTCATAACAAGTTAACCACCTTAACATTTTTGGCAGCTGGTTGGTTTCGTTTTAGTTGTGTCAGATAACCTTGTAATGCCTTGCAATGTTTTAGTCAAACTGAAAGGCCACATTACAGTAGTTTGGCCAAAATAGTGACCATTAAAGTCTGTTATTCTGCCACAGATGAAGGAGATGGGAAATTGCACGAGATTGCGCGAGCGAAGGTGAGTTGCATTGACGCTGCATGATGGCGTGTTCACCGTGTGTGGGTAGTTATATGTGTTGGTGATAAAGCTGAATATTGATGAAATGTAATATTATGATATTTTACAAATAAATCACTCTGTCTATTCAAATGAAGTTATTTGCGTTAGAATTAATAATAATAATTAATAATAAAGTCAATGAGCCCATTCTTCCTGGCAAAAAAATACCTAAAACATGGCTAAATTAATGTCTTACTAACCTGATATGGCTTATTTATTTGGGATGTTTTTAAAATGACACCAAATTGAACACTGAACAGTAATGTAAAGTTTAAAGGCAGAAAGCACATTTGCAGAAAGGAAACTTAATATTTCTTTATCTTTGAATGGGTTTTAACCTGTTCTTTTTCAACAGTCTGAAGCACTCCATAAGTGACATGCATTGCAGTTAACTGTCAGGTCCTAGATACCATGAGTAAAGTACACAAAATAGAATTAAAGATCTTGGCTGTTTTATGGGTATTATATCATGGGTTATCTATAAAATGTATTGCTTTAAATATAAAACTAAAACATAGAAAGCAATCATAGTGTGTTAATGTCCATTATGGATAGGTACATTTAGAGGGTTCTTTGCATTGTAAATTGGTTCTTCAGATTGACTGAGAAAGTGCTGTAGATGGTTCTATATAAAACCTTTTTGAAAATGGATCTATATGGCACCAAAAAGAGTTCTATTGTTACAAGCTTGACATCGTACCTATAGCAGAACCCTTTTTAAAACCGTTGTATATTGAACCATCTACAGTACATTCTCCATCAAGCTGAAGTACCCTTTTACGATGCAAAGAACGCTTTAACCATGCAAAGTGTTCATGGTTCTCTATTTTTAACCATTTTCTTTAGTAAAGAACTCTCAAAGAACCATCTATTTTAAGAGTGTATATGTGCTGTAGTGGCTGACATTCTCTCGACTTTGTCATCTACAGAATGAAGGTAGGGAGCTGACAAAAGAAGAGAAGCAACGTCTAAGGAAAGAGAAGAAACAGCAGAAAAAGGGAAAAAAAGATGACAAGGGTCCAACAGAAAAAGGGACGGATAAGGAAAAGAAGGCTGCTCCTTCAACTGCCTCTCAACCAGTTACACAAAGTTCAGCACAGAAAGGTAAGATAAAGCCATTTTGCTGGATAAATTCAGAAGTGCTCTTAATTAACCCCACATTACTTCAGTATCAGGCTTTTGTTAAAGGTTTTTAAAACCTTTTGTTAGCTTAATTCACAGTTTTAGCATTAACGACAATAGTTTTAATGAATGCACATTCTTATCGGTAAATAATTGCTTTAAAAAAGGACATGTAAATTAGACCAAAATTAAAAAAAGATATATGATGATGTATTTATAAGAGAACATTTACGCTTCAGCGCTAAAATGTCTGTATTTAATTTTATTGCATTTGTAACCCATTAGAAATAAAATTTACATTTCTCTGTAATGTAAATCCAGGTTGATTTAGTCCCTATTTCTATGCTTTTTAAATATTTATGGTATGGCTTTGGCAGTAGAATATTGGATTTCGGCATTGGCTTGTGATTCCCATATTGGTGCGTCCCTAATAGCTTTGGTGCCTAGAACTTTAGTGTTATCTCTTTTTGGTTGATTCTTTTATTTCATTCAGTGTATCCTGATCAATTTTCTATTTTCCTCAGAAAAATCATAGCCATTTTGTTATGTTTGTATTATTTGTGTAAGTCCTGGAATCTGTTCTAGTATGCATCACAGATTCTCTGGTTCATCCGTTTTCTCATCTTGTATATTGATGCACTCCTGTGATTGGTTTTGGTCTTATAGCCCAATCAGCGGCTCCTGTGTCTGCCAGTGTGCCTGAGTCCACTGCACCTACCGATAAGCCAACTAAAAGCAAAGCAGAGCTAAAGGCAGAGCGGCGGGCACGCCAAGAAGCAGACCGTGCATCAAAACAGACCAAAAAGGAACCAGGCTCACAACCAGCCTCTAGCAAGTCGAAAGCTCCACCGAATGAGCTCCAACCAGGTAATATAACCAGTTACTATTAGATGTAAAGTCCTATAGCAGGTCATATAATGTTATACATTCAGAATTAGTGATTTGACTGATTCAGGAAAATGTTAACTGACTGAGGTGTCTGGATATATCTTATGGCTGGTGCGTATCTTTGATCAGCGGTGAAACGATTACCGGAACATATCCAAGTTGATGATCCTGCTGTGGTGAGAAAGCTGGCCAAGAAGCTGGAGAGACAACAGGTTAGAAAGTTTAATACGTATGTATTTTGCTTCCTTGTCATATTTACTGTGTGATATTTATAACCCCATTTCCAAAAGAGTTGGGACGCTGTGCAAAATGTAAATAAAAATGGAATGCAATGATGTGCAAATCATTTAATCCTTATGTTCAATTTAACAACAAGTTAATAACATGATTGGGTTTAAAGATAGCATCTCAGAAAGACTCAGAGTCAGACATAAAGATGGGGAGGGGTTCACCACTCTGTAAAAGAGAGCAAATAGTGTAACAATTCAAAAATAACATTTCTCAATGTAAAATAGCAAAGAACTTGGAGATTTTATCATCTATGATACATAATATCATTAAAAGATTCAGAGAATCCGGAGAAATCTCTGTGTGCAAGGGACAAGGCCGAAAACCAGATCTTTGGGCCCTCAGGTGGCACTGCATTTAAAACAGACATGATTCTGAGGTGAAAATCACTGCATGGGGTCAGGAACACTTCTGAAAACTATCGTCTGTAAACACAGGTCATTGCTGCTTACACAAATGCAAGGTAAAATTCTTCCATGCAAAGAAGGAACTGTACGTAAACAGGATCCAGAAACAGTGCTGCCTTTTCTGGGACCAAGCTCATTTAAGATGGACCCCAAACTGTTGATCAGCAAAAGCCTATATCAATCAAGAATGGGAAAACATTTCACTTACAAAACTACAGAAATTGGTCTCCTCAGTTCCCAAATGCTTACAGAGTGTTGTTAGAGGTGATGCAACACAGTGGTAAACATGCCCCTATCCCAGCTATTTTTTGAAGCGTGTTGCTGGCATCAAATTGAAAATGGGCATATATTTTTCAAAAAACAATAAAATTTTTCAGTTTCAACATTTGATATGTTATCTTTGTTCTATTTTCAATTCAATATAGGGTTTAAATGATTTTCACATCATTATATTCTGCTTTCGTTTACATTTTGTACAGTGTCCCAGCTTTTTTGGAAATGTTTTCTCTATTCATTTACTTCCCACTTTACCATCCCAAATGTTCCTGAAGATATTTCAGCATACTTACTTCAGATGCTTTACTTCCCATTTCTTTCAGAAGTCAGGGCAAGGAACCAGTATAAATATGTCTCGAGTCAAGGTCTGGGTCTACACTGTGTCTGCAGTGGAGGTTTTTGTTTGATGTGTATTTTATTTATTTATTTATTTATTTATTTATTATTATTATTATTTTTTTTTCCCTTATCCCTGTGCAGAGACAGATGGGATTACATGTGTGACGTGTACATTGTGTGTTTTATGTAGTTTAGTTGGGATCTGTTTTGATTTTGTGTTATGTAACAAACATTGGTGTTTCTTCTTAACTGTTGTGGTTTTTCCACTAGGCAGTGTGGCGAAACACAGTACAGTTACATAATTTGAACCCAGAATTGTTTGTATTCCTGTGTTCTTCTCCCATCATACAACAGAACTGTGAAAGTAGGTGGGATTTTCTGGAAGTTGTGAGGCAGTCACATAATTTCTCAATTGACACTAATATTAACACAAACAACAGTAGCAAAAATGGATAAGCTTCAAGCTCTGAATTCACAGATGAGCGATTTCAGCTCGCTAGTGGTTTTAGAAATGGTAGTCATCTGACTTGAGTGATGATTCTGTGGTGATCACGTTTGACCACTGAGTGGTCTGTGCTATTTCAGACTCCACCCATACAGTACTGTGCAAAAGCCATAAACCACCCTATTTACTTTCCATTCAAAGTGGCCATTAAATACAAGTTATCAGTATAATTAAGTTCTTATTGATATGACATTGAAAGAATTAGTATATGTTTAACAGAAAATTACACAAAAGCTTCCATTCATAAATTCAAATGTGACAGTATGTAAGTTGACCCCTCTTTATCCTCTTAACTCTTCCGTCCTTCAAATCTTTAAACCAACAAGTTGCGGCTGTGGAGATGTGATTTGAGATAATCCACTTGCATAAGGACAGGCAAAGTACAAGGAAAATAACAAAGTAAAAGTTAAAAAAAATATATTAAAAGATATAGAAAAAATGGGATTCCTAACAACTGTGTAAGACCTGGTAGACCACCAAAACTGTCACTGTCAGATAAACAGTACTTAAAGCTTTCATCTTTGAGAGAGAGGAGAAAATCAGGCTCCACTCTTACTTCAGATCTGAAAAAATCTACAGGTTTTTCTGTCCATCCTTCCACTGAGAGAAGACAGTTCAGTGCTATGAGTCATAATGGAAGTGTAGCTGTGAATACGTCATTACTGAGAGAAGAAAATAGACAGAAAGACCTTTCACACTAAAAACACCAAAGCCAGACATCTGAGATGTAATGTATAGTTTTATGGTCTGATGAATCTAAATTTGTATGTTCTACCACTAAACTTTGGAGGTTTTAACTGAAAACGAGAGCAAGCCTGCCGAAAAGAGTGGAAGCTGTAATTACGGGTGGACAAACTAGACAGCATAAATTTTGATATTAAAGTTGGCTGTTGAGGCTTTGGAGTAAATTTCTGTTAAATATATTTTCTGCTTTTTTCCTAAAGATAAAAATTAGGAAGTTGTACTTAATGCACATTTTGACTGGAGATGAAAGAAATAAAGGGTGGTTTCATTGCACTGTACAGTACATCTTGGTTCAGTATATTTGGTAGAAGGGTAACCAAATAATCACTGACACTCAAGTATGGTATGAGTCACTTGGTATTGGAAATGACAACAAAATGTTTCATTACAGAATTGTAACTGTACCATACTGTACCACACTCCCTGGTGGGAAAAATGGCATTCTGCATCTAGAGGGCTAGGTGGTCATCATTTGCTTGTTCTGTTCATTTCGTCATGTACAATGCATCCAACATGTTTATTTTTGGCCACTGTACATCATCTTGGTCTTTACAAATATCTTATTAGACAGTAGAGGCATTATTCTGTTGCAGCGTCAGCTCTGACCTTCAAGACAAAAGAATACCCCTGCCCAGTAACAGCCAGTTGCTGCAGTCATCCACAGTCACTGTTTTTATTTTATTCTTACAGATCCCACTGAGGTCAGACTATGGCTACAAAGTCAGCTTGTTCTCGCACCTGCACCAGTACAGTCGCAAAGCCCCCCTTACTCAGCAAATCAGGTACTGCACAACTATAAGGAAAATGTATTTCTAAATAATTTGTGGACTTACTTGCTATCATGTCAGTGGTGGGGTTTCTGGGAGATGACCCATGTTACTATATTAGAAAAAGTAATACCTAATTTACAGTATTGTCTAATGACAATTGTTTGTTTGTTGCACTTTTGAGTAATAAACTGTCCTTTTTTTTTTTTTTAAGCATCCCTGCCACAGTTATCCACCCCTCTATAGTGCGCTTGGGTCTACAGTACTCGCAGGGTATTGTAGCCGGTTCCAATGCTCGGTCTGTGGCCTTGCTGCATGCCTTTAAACAGGTACACCACTATTTATATTTTTGCAGATGAGAGGAAAAATGTAATTATTTTTGGTCAAATATTGGAAACACAGCTGATAAATGCAACCCATAAATGTAACCCATGGTTACAGTTTTGGTTATCAACAGTCCCCCACATAAACTGGAGATTCATTTCTTCATATACACTAAATGGACAAAAGTATCGGGACACACCCCTTAATCATTTAATTTAGGTGTTCCTTTCAGTCCCGTTGTTTCCAGCACCTAGCCATGTAGTTTGCCTTTATAAATATTTGTGAAAGAACATGTCTTTCTAAAGGGCTCAGTTAATTTGAGCATGGTACTGTAATAGGTTGCCACCATTGTACAGTTTGCAAAATTTCTATCCTCCTAGATATTCCACAATCAACTGTAAGTGGTATTATTGAAAAGTGAAAGCGTTTAGGAACCACAGCAACTCGGCCACGAAGTGTCAGACCACGTAAAGTTACAGAACGGGTCGCGAAGTGCTGACGAGCAATAGTTCCCAATGCTCTGCTGACTCAAAAAAACTGTTCCAAACCTCCTCTGGCATTAACTTCATCACTAAAACTGTGTGCCGGGAGCTGTTATAGTTGCAGAGGGGGGACCAACTACATATTAATGGATTTATGGATTTACAATGGGATGTAATAAAAGCTCCTGTAGATGTAATGTCCCAATACTTTTGTCCATATAATGTAGATCAGAGTGCCACTGCTATATCAAAAAAGTAGGTGACTCCTAAGGTTTTACGTAATGACTCTTCTTAATGACTTGCCTGGTTTAATAAAGGTTAAATTAAAAAAATAAATAAATATACTTACCTACTGATTTAACACATCTTGTAAATTACCTCTTTATCTTTTAATTATGTTACTATTGCAGGTCATTCAAGACTACAGCACTCCTCCAAATGAGGAGTTGCCGAGGGACCTAGTAAACAAACTGAAGCCCTACATCAGGTTAGTTTTGTTTTTAATGTCAGCATGTCCAGTACATGTTAACATTGGTAGTATTCAATGTGACTCTAAACTGTTTAGTGTTGTATAAACTGATTTATGAATTATGTAAATTTAGATGATCACAGTGCATTTAACAAATGCTTGCATTGTATATGTTTTTGCAGTTTTCTCAATCAGTGTCGCCCCCTGTCAGCAAGCATGGGTAATGCAATCAAGTACATCAAAAAAGAGATCTCTAATATTCCCAGTCAGTGCAAAGAAGAAGAGGTGAGAAGCATTAATGTGTTGGATCTACATAGACTAATACATTAATCTGGAGGGCGAATAATAGAAGTCATCTGAAAAACAGCAATTCTATTAGAGATTTTCTACTTTTTGCACAAAGTATTTAACCATACAAAGTACCCTGACTGAAATATACATGTGCTAACAAAAGTATATCTTGCCTGTAATATTTAACATTATTTAAGCTGTGCTCTGTTGTCTTTGTCCACAGGCTAAGAAGAAACTGTTGTTATGTATTGACAACTATGTAAATGAGAAGATCACATTAGCTGCGAAAGCCATCTCTAAATGTGCGATTGATAAGATTAGCGATGGTGATGTAATTCTAGTATATGGATGGTAAGAGAATTTAATAGCATTGCATGAGTCTTTTGTGTTTCTTCCCAGTTTCAAATTTGTGAAAATGTTTTGTAAACCTTTAATAATATTTACCTAAAACATTGTTTATGGTGAATGTTTTTCAGCTCTTCACTTGTCAATCACATCCTGTGTGATGCCTTTGAGAAGCAGAGGAAGTTCAGAGTCATTGTGGTGGACAGTCGACCCAGGCTGGAGGGCAGGGAAGCACTAAGGCGTTTAGTGAAGAGGGGCATTCGTTGTACCTATGTGCTTATATCTGCCGTGTCCTACATTCTGCCTGAGGTAACTTATTGGAGTATAGGTCATGAGGTTCTTTCATATAAACATGATAGACTTTTATTGCTGATGTTCCAAGCGCATGTAGGCTAAGTATAGTGACACACAGCAATTATAATTACACTCTCCTAGGTATCCAAGGTGTTCCTCGGAGCCCATGCGCTGCTGGCCAATGGATATGTTATGTCACGAGTGGGAACGTCTCAAATTGCCCTGGTAGCCAAGGCCTACAACGTGCCTGTGTTGGTCTGCTGTGAGACCTACAAGTTCTGTGAACGAGTACAGACTGACTCCTTCGTATCCAACGAACTTGGTAATTATGATAGAGTGCACTCTTTATTTAATGCCTTGAGTATAAGTTAATAATACATTATAATTGTCATCATCTGAGCATTTGAGGATCAGGACATCACACTAAAATTTATTCCCACAGATGACCCTGATGACCTAATCGTTACTCGGGAGGGAAAGACGCAGTTGGCGGACTGGCAGAGCGTGAAGTCCCTGGGTTTGCTGAATTTGGTGTATGATGTAACACCTCCAGACTTTGTGGACCTGGTGATCACAGAGCTAGGCATGATCCCCTGTACTTCTGTGCCTGTAGTGCTACGAGTGAAGAACGTGGATCAGTAAAGAAGGTTTATCACTTGCTTCTGTGCACCCACATGCCTACATACAGTGGGCTTTTGGCAAAAAATAAACTTGTATCTAAAATGGCACATGCTTTTTAATCAAAGCTGTTTTGTGTTTTTTTTTCACCTCCTGAAGCACGTAGTAGAGTCTGTTTTTTGCTTTTTCTGAAAATGTGTGAAGATGAATGAGAGAACATAGTGCTTGTTAGCTAATTAAAGGGAAATTCAACTAATTTTGAATTGCATAACCTTGCATAAATAAATCATTGAGTGGTTTGATATGAAATGAGCCATTCTAGCAAGATTTGTTCACAGTGGGAATGATTGGAACCAGACATCCAAACCATTTAACGCTTTATTAACAACTTTATTAATGCAATTTTTGAGATTACGCTTTCTCCCAAAACATGTTTTAAAACACATTAAGATACATGTAGGATGTATGAAGGTAAAATAGTCCCTGAAGAAAATTTCCCTTTTTAGATTTTACCATTATCCACATAACATCTACAAACTCAGAAGACACTTGTAGGTTTACTGGTTGTTTTGAATTGTAAATTACTTCTTGTAAATATTTATTCACTAGTAAATATTTGTGTTGTAGACCTTGCAACCCCCTTACTACTATCATCACCACTGTAAAGAAATTAGAACTGGTACATTACTATGCATCATTTCACACCAACACCGAATGATTCTATTTATACAACAACAACAACTGAATTATGCAGAAAATTTGAAAAGTTTGTGGATTTAATAATGCAATTAGCGGGATATTTCTTAGTGCAGGAAGTTCGAAGGCATTAACTTAAAGCCTGTGATTTTAATTAAAGCATGTTATAATGCAGTCTGAGTTTCAGAGGTGTACATGTGGAATATATAGTTCTAAATTGGGCCAAAACATTAACATTTAAGTCACAGTTCAAAAATGTCACATACAGTGCTGGAAAATTATTTGTTTCCTTCCCAATTTGCATATTTGTGACATGCTTCAGATCATCAAACTTCTTTTCATATTAGACAAAGATTCCCCAAGCAAATACAAGTGTTTGTTTTAAATGATTTCATTTATTGAAGGAAAAATGCTGTTTGACCCTACGTGAAAAGGTAATCTTAGCTACTAAATCATCCAGTTAATCAAACTCAGTTGACTGTTGGGTTCGATTTCACTAGACACACCCAGGCATGGTTACTGACAGACCTGTTGAATCTAAACATCACTTAAATAGAACCTGTCTGGCAATATGAAGCAGCTAGAAGGTCTCTAAAAGCAGCACATGATGCCACATTCTAAAGAGATTCACATACAGCTGTGAAACAGTTGTTGAAACCTGCCAGTCTGGAAAAGGTTACAAAGCCATTGCTAAGGCTCTGGGACTCCAGCGAACCACAGTGAGAGCCATTATCCACAAATGAAGAACACTTGGAACAGTGATGAACCTTCCCAGGAGTGGCTGGCCTACCAAAATTTCACCTCAAGCACATCAACAACTCATCATAAAAGAACCCAGACAAACATCTGCAGGCTTCACTTGCCTCGGTTAAGGTCAATGTACGTGATTCCACAATAAGAATGACACTGGGCAAAAATGGCATCCAAGGCACAAACCACCACTGACCAAATAAAACAAAAAGGCTTGTCTTGTGTTTGCCAAAAACAGCTAGATGACCTCCAAGATTTTGGGATAATATTCTGTGGACTGAGGAGTCAAAGGTGGAACATCTTGGAAGACATGGGTCCCGTTACATCTGGCATAAAGCTAACACGGCATTCCACCATAAGAACATCACATCAGCAGTCAAACGTGGTGGTAGTGTGATGGTCAAGGGCTGCTTTGCTTCTACAGGACCTGGACAACTTGTGATAATTGATGGAACCCTGAATTCTGCTCTCTATCAGAAAATCCTGAAGAAAAATGCCTGCCATCAGTTCATGACACAATCTAGTCCACCCCTGAATGGCTCAAAAAAAAAATTAAAAATAAGGTTTTGGAGTGGCTGAGTTAAAAGTCGTGACTTGAATCTCATTGAGATGCTGCGGCAAGACCTTAAATGGGCAGCTCATGCTTGAAAACCCTCCAATGTGGCTGAATTTAAACAATTCCGCAAAGAAGAGTGCGCCCAAATTCCTCCACAGCAATGTAAAAGACCTATCACAAATTATTGCAAACGTCTGATTGCAGTTGTTACTGCCAAGGGTGGCACAACCAGTTATTAGGTTTAAGGGGCAATTACTTTTTTCACATGACTGACACAGATTTTGAGTAAATCTTTATTTTCAATAAATGGAATGATTATTTAAAAGCTGCATTTAGTGTTTACTCATTTTGTATTTATATTAAAATAGCTGGATCTAAAACATTTAAATGTGACAAATTAGCATAATCAAGAGAAATTGGGTGAGGGGCAAAAACTTTTTCGTAGCACTGTACATGTCAAAGTAAATGTCACTAAGATTTGTTTTCACACCTTGAATAAAATATTTATTTACAATGAATTGGATCCAATCTAAGTTACAAGGAAATCTGAAAGAAAAACAATCGTTATATAATTCTTAACATTTATTTCAAGACATTGTTCAATAGGTTTTAGCCTTTATACTTATGTTCATTGCAGTGTTTTACAGTGAAAAGCCATAACTGCTGAGGCCAAATATTTGTCAGCTGCATACCACACACACTATTTACACTATGAAGAGTCCTGTGTTTTTTTTTTGTCATTCATTATTTCCCTTTATTTACCGTTTACTATTTTTTTTTGCTTGGTCTATATCTACTGTCTGTGCAAAATTCTCAAACAGTCTGATGCAAATTTTAAAATAATACTCAAACACTGGGCATCCAGTGACTGTCAGGGAACTGTAAACATATTTGGCAATAACAGAACAGGTTCTCAAATCACATATATAGGTTTTTGTATAACAAGTACCATATAAACGTAGACATATGTATTGTCTACAACTCGTCAAAAAAAAAACCCTGAAAAATAACAAATGTAATAAAAAAGTGACCTTTTTTCCATTGTGTGCAAAATAAAAACAAAGTAACTGTACAGTCTGGTATTAAACCCTTGGACAATACTGCAGTGCTACAATGATTTCGTAGATCTGTTCTGTTGCGATACAAAAGCATAACCAAACAGTAGCTGCTTCTCAGTGTGTTCATCAACACAATACCTGGGAAGGTCATGTAACCTGCATGTCACTGATAAAAGATTTTTCTGTGACATTCAACAGCATCTGAATGATGCATCATTGAGCTTCCCAGCCTGATTCTTTGCTCAGTGCAAAAGAAAATAGAAAAATGTAAATCTTAAGCACCCTTGCCAATGCAAGAAAAGAAAACTTCAAAATAGTAAACTTTGCATTCAATGCATTTTGCCATAAAATAATCATTTGTGTTTTGTTCAGTGTTGTCTACCACTTTTTGTCAGTTAGGAAGCCAGAGCTCAGATGCCTTTGGCTTTTCTTCTTTGGGTGACCCATAATAACGCAGAAAGGACAACTGTGGACCCACCCAGTATTGCCATGACTTCCAGCATAGGAAACTGGCCCTGCAATTCAGCAAAGACAACGAGTGAACATAGGGTGTACTACAGTTCATATCTTCTCAAGGCTCTTCAAGGCTTTTCTCTAGCCTTGGCAAAGTTCACCACCAATTTTTAACTGCAGATAAATGTCATTGCTGCTTTAATAAAATGTTCTTTTCTAGCTTAGAACATCCAGTACCGCATTAGTATCAGTACTGTTCCTAAGCTAACGGACCACCCTGAATGGAGTTCTTACCTCTCTTAAGCATTTATACCCATGGAAGGTATGGGCACAGCTGCACTCAAAGAATCCTGGTCCATAAGGCTTGCAGAAAGAGTTCTCAGGGCAATCCCAGGCTACAGAGATAATGGTGAGCAAAACAGTTTCGCAAAAATCATGGGTAAAAACATAATGTGCTAAAATTAAAGTGCTCAATGGAATGTGACTTACACATCTGTCCTGTCCCATTGCAAGCATTCCTCTGTCCTTCACAGGTTCGAGTGTCCCTTTTAACCATCACTTTGTCCCATGATGTGTTGCCCCCTGGACACTCCAGCTTTATGGGCAGTATACTGAATGAAAGGTAATGTTGAAACAACATACATCTATTAAGATGCTATTACAACTTTATAAGAGTCAACTAATTTGTGAAGCTGGGAAAAATGAAGACTCTTGAGATGTGTCCAGAAGGATGAACAGAGCTGTAGATGATTATATAATTACTGAGAAATCTGTATAACATTGAAAATGAAATTATAATAAAAAGTAAGATTCAGAATATCGTATATTTGAAAACTGGTGATCAAATCTTGAGGCAGATAAATTATTAAGAAATTACTGTACATTACTGAAAATACCTTCCTGCGTCTAGCTTATGGCATTTCAATGTACGCTGTTTTAAGATAGTACTAAATGAAATATTTAATTAGACAAGTGATTTTCCAAACTTTTGAATGGTAATGTACTTAGTTAATGTCCTGAAATTTAACTACATTGATGCGTTACTTACAGATGAGTCAGACGATTAAAACCTTGAAATAAAAAATCACTCAGATTGGAAATAGGGTTGCTGGAAAGATCTCTGAAATGAACACAACAGAGATTAGGCAACGAGTCTTATGATATATACACCCAATGCTGAAACAACTCGGCAGGAGAAAACTCTAAAGTGCTGTGCAAAAGTCAGAGACCACCCATTAAGTGCAACTTATTCAGGAAATATATCTGAAAAGCATATATATAAAACAACAAGGAAGGGCAAATTCAAAGGAAGATAAGAAAGAGAAAAAACTGGAGTACAAAAAAATGATTAAAAGGTGTAGAGGAAATGGTGCCTCTACAACCATGCAAGACCTGGTAGTCCACCAAAAAGGTTACCATCAGATAAGCAGTACTTGGGGCTTTCAATTTTGAGACACAGGAGAAAATCAAGCCAAAACATTAAGTTACTGTCCATCCTTCCACTGTGAGAAGACAACTCAACACTATGAGTTTGAAAGGATGTGCAGCTGTTATGAAGCCGTTACTGAGAAAAGGACAGACAAAAAATAAATAAATAAAAGAAATCAAACAAAGAAGCTGCTGGTGTTCTCAGATCAATGGACTGACCACCCCAGAGTCCAGACCTTAGCATCACTGAATGTGTTTGGGATTACTTGGATCATGAGAAGCAGATCATGCAACCAACTTCTAGGACTTAATTTTGGAGGAGTAAAAAGATCCCAGCAGATTTATTTGAATAGCTGAGAGAAAGAAAAGAATGGAAGCCGTAATAAAGGCAAAGACACTTTAAAATACTGAACTTTTGATTTTGTGTGTTTTTCTGTTAAGTATGTTTTCTTGTTATTTTCTGCTACTGACAAATGAATAACTAAGTGGTCTCGGGCCTTTACACAGTACTATACGCCTAGAATGTCTCTGCAGTAGCTTCTTTATTACTCACATCATAACCGCTGCAGATGCTTCATAGAGGTCCTCTATATGACTCAGAGAACAATTTGATAGATCCAACCTGAAAGTACAACGAATCTAACATGTAAACATCAAAGTTTCTAAATTGTCATATGTCTAAAAGAAGAAGCTGATGTTGTGTATTCCTACCCAAAAATGTTGTTCTCCTCACTGCTGTTATTCCTAAAGCAGCATCGGCCCTCTATCCGGCCTGCTGTGAGGCAGAGATTCCACACAGCACTGCCAGTCTGCACCGCTCTTCCGCACATGTAACATAACTACATAAACAGAAAAACATTAGTCTTCTACAACAGCCACAGCTTTTGTACGTTTATGATAAATATGAGTCAGGAGCTTCAGCGGAAATGGGCTTTTCTCATAGCTCTAGACCACAAACGTAACTGTAAAGCAGTGACAGTAGAAACTGACAGTTACAGCGCTGGAGCTGAGCGTTGTTTACACTGCATTTATAGGGAAATTCTGCTCCTCATCAAAAACCGAAATAAGTTCACATACCTCTTGTAATCGTACATGAGAATCGATGTGCTGGGAACGGACGTGTACACTGGAAAAAATGAATAAAACATAAAATAAACACAGAGCGGACAGTGTGAAAATGCTGATCCCAGCAGGCATCTTCCTCTACTCACGTGACCTAGTGGTGCACCACGTGACCGCCAGCGTTCAAGCTCACATTCATGACGGTCCATCCAGCGCTACGATTTCGCATTTCTGGTTTCTCCCGTCAGAAAAGTTGCAGTTTTGCACTCATTCAGATCACTCGCTTCTTTGATTTTTTTAATTAAAGTAAGCATCGACAAACCACTGCCACTATAAAATAAACCACGAAACTGGTCCTATATCAGCGATATAAGGCATTCAGCAATTTGTTTAGATCGTGAAACTCCAACTAAACAAGAGAAGGGTTGAATATAAAATTGCATTTTATTCCAGTTTTATTCCTGACCCGTACTGAAGGCTGAAATGAACGTGGGGGTTCCCACTGACTGAAGACCACTGAGCAAGGGACAAACAGGAAGGACTGGGTGGTTTGAGATGTTTTAGTGAGCCTTGCTGGTGTTTTCCCGCTATTTTAAATAAACGTCCGTGTAATTGTAGCATTTAACTACTAATAACAACACAGAAATCGGTAGCCTCATTTAATTATGGCAAATTACCATCACTCGCTTCCGCCCCGGCTCAACTTAGATCTCCTTAATGAAATGCATGTTAATTTGCCCTGCAGACTCCTCGGTAAACACCACTAAAGCACAGAGGTGGGACAAGACTGCGCTGAAGTAAAACGGGTCCTTTTATTGTTTAAGTAACATTGCTGTTTGGTTTGCTCAAGTTGGTGCTGCAATTAAATGCTATGCAACCCGTGTCATGTTTAGTCTGGATGTCTGAAATAAACGTTTTGACGCAATCGCACGTGAAAAGACTCCCCCACCTTTCGCATTGGTTTGAACCAAGAGACTGTTGCAATGCCTCGAGAACCAGTGGACACACACTGAATACGTTAAATCGACCTTTGGTGGAGAGTAGATCTCATATCTTAGCCTATCAGCTAATGTGTTTCATCTTTTCTTACTGAGTTAAGGAGATCGCGTAGGTGGGCTACGTTTTGGATGGACAAGCGACAGAAGATGTCTTGATTTGTTTTCGCTTCCTCACTCGTTTGTACCAGTGCAGACTGAGACAGAGCGGTTTGCAGACTGCACGTTTCCATGCAGAGCAATTTAGCTAAAAGTTTATTAGCCTTCGGTTTACATCGGAGCGTCTTCCAGTGCTGATCTCCGGAGTCTGACGAACCGTCTGAGGAGCTGAGTGGATAGATTTGGCCAGACAGGCTGATAAATTGCCAACAATGAAGGTGGAATTACCTCCAATTGCAACATGGCTGCTGCTGCTGCTGCTCAGACGTTGTATGGGAGAAGTTTAGCTCCTGACGTGAAATAAGTTTTTTTCTGAATTCACCTCGTCGACGAAGGTGAAGACAAATCTGAGAGAATTTCTTAGGTTCGGATTTTAAAAGGCCAGACTGAGCAGTGAAACGGGGGCGAGGAGGACTCGGATGAGCTGGCGGTAGAAAAAGAAGAAGACGGGACTCTGTGTGGATTTACTTCTCAGTCACTTTGAACGTTTGGAAAATATCCATATCTGATCCATAAATCCGTCATATATCTCCGTAGTTAAGTTTTCGCTGAGAAGAAAATGCACTTCTCCATTCCTGAGACGGAGGTTCGCTCCGGTGAAAACGGATCTACCTATGTGGTGAGTGCCACACTAAACTGCGTCTCCTGCTAACTTTGGGAGTGAATGTTTGTGATTCATTGCTCGGGGCATTGTCAGATTTGTCAGATGGCCAAAACCTACATTGCGCTTGAACGCAGTCAACATTTTACGTAGAGCTGGCGTATTTGGCTCCTACGGCTTCTTGGCACAGCTGTTGTCCATGGCAACAGTTATTGTTTTACCTATTATTTGTTGTATCCCACTTTGCAGTAACCTCCTGTTGGCAATGAGGGTCAGAAGGATCGAAGCCTTTAACATGTTAAATCAGAGTTGACATATAATTTCAACAGCACGAGAATCAAAACGCCCAAAACATCGCGGATGTCTTGCTGGTTAAGTTTGATCTCATTGGACATGGCGATCCGTTTATGCCTTATTACGATCCAGGAACATACACTGGCGTTTTCATTCACGTGGACTGATCATGATCACTGCAGTCCACTGTCAGGGTCATGGTGTGCTGGGGTGTCCCTTGGGTCACAGTTTCTGAAAGTAGGCTGTCATCTTCCCTTGTGGTGGATGTGAAAAAACTGCATGATGCTAAAATGCGGGGGGACTAATTCACTACCCTTTTCTTACTGTCTTAACCCTATAGCAGTATAATGTGCTAATATGGCCACCATAAATCAAGAATCAGCTGTTTAACACCTTTGTCTAGACTGCATGACACCTCCATTCAACAATGACAAGGCTGCACCACAAGCAAAGCTATGGGTCACTCCAGTCACCCCAAAACTATGGTACTGTCTGGCTGAGGACCGTTATGCTGCAGTTACTTAGAAGAAAGTTTAGATAGTCTGAATGCCTCATTGGAAGTGTTATGTCTGCAGTAAGACTGTCTAGTAAGGGGGCTTCGTGCTTGACAAATAACAGTCAAAATATGAATCAGGCTGCACCATCAATTCAAACTTGAAGTGTACAGTGAGTAGCTTTTAGCCTTCCTGAAGCAGATCAGCAGAGCTTGGTAAAACCTTACATGTTATAAAGCGACATAGGAGCTCAATGGTTTGTGTAAAGTTGTTGGTTCTACAGTCCACAGAAGGAAACTCGTTCATTCTTGCTATTGAGATCATCGTAAATCACTCTGGAATAGAGAGGTCTTTCAAGGCCACATGGGGAGGGGAAATGTGCCTGAGACCAGATGTGTGGATGTTAACTGAAAGCCAGCAGTGTCTCTGTAATCACGCTGCTTCTGCTGTTGTGGCGCTCTGTTGTTTTTGAAATGTAGAGCGAGGGTTAGGGTATGTAGAGAATGCTGTCAGTTTATACGTTCCTTTTTTTCCTTCTAATTCGCCCCAGACATGGTTCATCCAGGTGCAACATGTGTGGAATGTGGAACAGCAAGACAGCCAAATTTTTTTCTCTCTCTCTGCCTCTCTCTCGGTGTCTTAGCATTCATCCAAGTCTGGAGATATTTTTCTCCTCTGAGCTTTGTTTTTCTCCTTACACTTTCCTTTCTGAACGTTCGTATTGTGGTGGTAAAAGCACTCATTTGAAGAGCGCGTTTGTGTGTCTGTACTGAGCTGTACTGTAAAGTTGGATTTAGAGGGATTGTCTCTGGTGTACCTTGGAACCACTCGGCTCACGGAATGTGCACACTTTGCAGTGGAGCCACCGTGAAAAAAGAAAATAGAGTTTGCAGTCTAAAGGACAGACTTCCTGTGCAGGCGAAAAGCTTTCTTTATGATGGTCACACTTCCTGGATACTTGAGGGCACACTTTTCCTTCCTTTTCTAGTGTAAATACTGTAGCATAAGGTTGGTTTTGTGAAGAGACAAGTCAGGACATTGCAGTTTCTTGGCTTAACTTTTTGCCGTAATGACACTTATTTCTCGATGTTTTTAATGGTTGAGTCAAATAAATGCAGTCAGGGGAAACAAGTATTCACTTTTTGTTTTTGTTGTTTAGCATTTTTTCAGTGCATATGTCCACTTCACCTTTACACACATTATGTGATGTGAAAAAGTATCAGTTCACAAGAATAAACAAATGTTTAAAAAGACTAAATTGATGGGGAGAGAAAAAGTATTCAGACACTAGAATAGATGTCAAAGAATATATGAAGGTTTCATAAAATAGGTTAAGTTCTAGATATTAATACTACAAAAAAACCTGTTCTGGTGTTATAAAAGATGTTGCCACTGTTTGATTCCAAGCAAGAAGTAGCGATCATGGTGAAGATGAAGGAACTACCTGAAGCTTTCAGGGCCAACATTATTAAGCAATATTCAAATGGAAAATGCCACAGAGCCACAGCAAAGATCTTAAACCTTCTTGTCAGAGCAATTGTTTCTGTAACATGCAAGTGGAAAGTTCATAGAACCGCAACAGTTGTTCCATGGAGAGGTGTACCAAGATGCAAGATTTCACAACATCCTTTCAGATCAATTATAAGGGTAGGTAAGAAAGAAACCAGCAGTCACTCGAAAAGAGTTGCAGGACGTTCTGAAAGCAGCATGAACAACAGTTACGGTTTCACCCCACACAAAACTCCTCTGCTAAAAAAAAGAAGCGCAGAGATGCACATCTAAAATTTGCATACAAGCATTTAGACAAATCAGAGCTGTTTTGGAACCATGGAAAAAAAAATCAGTGCATGTTTGGAGAAAGAAGGGTTGCGGATATGACCTTTAGAACACCATACGCAGAGTGTAGAGGTGTGAGCATCAACACATGACAACAGGCTTCTTTTCTGCAAGCAGTTCTAGGGCATTACACGTCACCGAAGGAAGCATGAATGGAGCGCTTTATCAGGACATATTAAATAACAAAAACAAAGATGCTTATTTTCCCCTCTCTGTAAATGGTGGAGCAGAAAACTACATATAACATGAAAAATACAACTTAATGTAGATGCTGCTATTCATTAATTTATTCTTCTATTCATTTAATATAAAAGATCAGTGTAAATCAGAGCTGTCCAGTCTTAACCTGCAGTCACATCTGCCCTTTGTGGATTTCATTCCAATCAAGCATTAGCACACCTGACGCACCTGGTTTATTCACCTGGTCTCAGTCAAACACTTGATTATGTGTGTCCAGCTTTGTTGAAATGAAAACCTGCAGACACACTAGCCCTTTGCGGATAACACTGGACACCCTTGGTGTAAGGTCTAAGTCTGCACTCATATTGTTATGCTGTCTTGAATGCCATCCCTGTGTTGTTTCAGATAGTTATTTTCATGAGATAAGCCCTATTTTAAGTGTTAATAAATGTTTGCCAGTGAAGTGTGCTTTTCCACAGTGCATAACCTTGTGTTAGTGTAAAAAGTTTAGGCTCTTTCTGCAGCCGCAGTTTTTGCTGTGCACTTAATAGAAGTTAAACTCCTTAATGTATTATGGCTTATCAGAAAAACTGGCCTGCATTAAGATGACACAGCAGTTGTTTCTACTGAACAGTTTAGGTAAGCAAAAAGCAGCGAGAGCGGTCAAACAGGAAGTTCACGGTGCAAGCACACACGCCTCTTTTAAAACGCATTGTTAACATTTGAATATTTTAATTGGGTCAGCTGATATTTTGAACATTCATGTTCCATCATTTTTGCCTGTTACGCAGAATCATTGTTGTGAAATTGCCCCATTCTCTTTTTTGTTTGGATGTGCTTTTGCGGTGGTCTCTAGGAGGAAGTTAAAGGTCAACTGCATTTGTTGTTGTTTCTCTGTGGAGGGCCCAGTGATGAGCCAGTCAAGCAATTTTGGATCAAAAACCCTTAGAAAAGAATATTCCCCCCCTTTCTAATCGAAGGATGATTTTGGCTGTCGTACAGGACCTTCACGTTGACCACAAATGTTAATGTTTTAGAGTAAAAGCACAAACCCAAAAGCCCAACAAAAAAAAAAAAAAAAATCCTCCAGCCCCTCTAGCCCCTGTTATAACCAACAGCAGCGTGGAGGAGGCCGAGCCTAAACACGATTACTGCACATTCTTATTGGCGTGGGTGCCATGTAAGCAGCATGGAGCCGTGTTTCTTACTGAGGTTACAGTGAAACCAGTGTCGACGTTAAGGCCCACGTTAGGCAGAGGATATGGTTAGAGGCCTATTTTCATGGTTAATTTAGTTTTTTGGCCTGCTTGTAGGAAATGTCAGTGCATTTTGACTCATTGCTTTGTAACCATGATTTCAGAAGACATGTTCAGTGCTGTTGTCTTTCTATGTTTTATTGAAGCTTTCTTTCATTGCAGTGGCTGTGATTATTAGCATTGATAAAACACTTTTAAGCTTACTACCATTTTGCTACCCTCGGTTTTAGTAGGAATGCACTGATATGGGGATTGTGGGCTAATGCCACAATGTACTTATCTGCCGATACTGATTAGTAAACGTTTATGATAGCATAAATTAATAAAGGCATTTTAGTACAGAAAGTGTCATTTAAACCAATCAGTTCAATATATTGTTCAATTCTAAACATCTGTCCAAAGCCAAACATTGTTTCGAAAAGGGCCTTGTCATGGAAAACCGATGTTGAAGCAATATATCTACAAGTTTCAAAATGCACCATTTGCTGCCCAGTCCATACGGTCCATATGTGAAAACTGGGATGTTTCTCAAGAACAAATTTAAGAAAAAACTTAGGATGATATCGGTTATTGAGGCCCATTGTTTGTGTTTGGTTTCTGTTTACATGTATCCACCTATTCAGCCTACACTAAAACCTTCATACTGAAGTTGTAAGCAGTGTTTCAGCTCTAAGTGCTTTTTGAATGAGACATTTATTCTGAGGGATAAAGAAAGGCAAATTAGAGAAAAATTTGTAGGTTTATGTTTTTGGTACATAAACCTACAAATGTTATAAAAGGACCTACATAAAATAATTAGGATATGGGCCTTTTAACAATTATCTGCCATTACCAATATGATTGTGAGATCATTGTGCATTCCCAAACTTTTTAACTAATATTGGAAAGTTTGCCACTACATTATCAATTATCACATAGTAATTCTGGAATTGGCTCAGAAACCTGATTCAGAGATTATTGTGATGCTGTAACCATATAATCCTTTGACATGTCACGTCCTGTTTCTGCAATGGATTAGGTTAATTGCTCTTTTCAATTATGCATGTAATGTTAAATGTGTAGCAGAAAGAAAGGGCAAGTGGCTGCTGATAGAAGTCCTTTGAGCTCTGTTGCAGTGGTTGGTTTGATGCCCGTCATCTTCTGTTACTCCTGTAGTTTAGACTGCAGCGTTTGAACAGACCATCAGTCTGTGTGTTTGAAACCCACCTCTCTGCAGTGCATTTCAGGTTTTGTTTCCTGAATCTGATTTCATCTCTCTTTCTCCTGTCTTTTTCAGGCCTACAACATCCATGTCAATGGCGTGCTGCACTGCCGGGTACGCTACAGCCAGTTATTAGGCCTGCATGAACAGGTGAGCACTTTGAAGCCTTTTTATTAATGAATCTGTGAATGAAGTATCATGTTATGTTATCAGGGTTTCTGCAGATACTTAAAATGTAAGGTATAAATAGTTTTTTTTTATTTTTTTTTATCTAAAATCATAAACTGTCTGAAAATGTCTTACTATTTCCTTTTAGATGTCTGAAGTCAGTGTTGAAATGTTTTTTTGTGTGTATAAAAATTAATTCAGGATAGTCCTTCAGCCAAAAATGTCAAGTTGTCAGGTCCTATTGTCAGAAACTGACCATTATTGAAGGGCTCTAGGGTTTTATAACTGATAATGAAGTCAAACACACTGAAAAGACTAGGAAAAGAGCGTTTAGTAATAACTGTGAAAAGAGCTAATGACCGTGGCGTTAATCATGCATGTATCTCAAAATGTATATCCGTTTTTTAATTTTCAACCAAATTTGCTTGTATAGTATAGACATTAAAGAGATGTTCTGGACCACAATAGTATTTATTATGGTATTTGTCTTGTTCTGTAGTATTTGTCTTATATAGGATTGCATGTCTCAGCCCATTCATCTGGTAGAATTCATAATTTTGTGTCTGTTTTTTTTGTATTTTTGACTGTTAGCATAGTCATTAATAGTACAGCCTAATATATACAGACGTGATGTTCCGCTTCTTAGCGGTACTGTTATCTGACTTCCTTCTGCATTACCCTGCTTTTCTGGGGGGGGGGTATTCTACCACCCCTCCCTTGAGTATCTGTCCCAGAGCAGTTGTAGTTTTTCAAAAGTTCTTCCCACCTTCAAGAAACATCATCAAAATGTCTTAGTCTTTAAACCAAAAAATCCTTCTTTAGAAATGACTGCACCAGTGTTTCTCTAATGCATGTCGTATTTGAGTTTACAAACTTTTTGTTGTGTAGTAGAAATTACTTTATTGTTTTGTTGGTTCCAAAAATTTATTAAAAAGCATTGAATAAGATTAAAACAATATTAGAGCTATAGAGCCCAGTCATGACTGCAAAGTGACTAGTTAAAAAATGCTAGTAATGCCTTTTGTCTTTTGACAGCATTTCATTGTAAATATCATCCTGAAAACTTTAGTGATTCTGTTGGCAAAGCCTTGTTTTCTGGTCTGGCAGCTGCTGTTGCTAGGTAACCAGGCACAGGAGGCCTACTGAGATCAGACGCTCTGGCTAAAGGTGTTGCCATGGTGTAGAGATGCAGCCAACTCACTCTGATTGGTCCCAAATCCACTTACCTCCACCAGATTAGGGGAGCTAACAGTCCCCCATGTGAAGATGTATTGAATACCAATTGCTGACGTTACAATATGTGAATACCAAGAGTTCCCAATAGGTGACTTAACTCACATTAACATAACACATTGAGATCTGTAATATTCTACATGACATTGTGTTGAAGTGCAATGAGTGATAAAAATATGTTAATTTGGGGACCCAGCTAGAGCCATTACTAACACAGTTGTCTGCTGAAATTCAGAGCTTTTGGTTTTGGTGATTTATGAGTCTCATTCCTGAGAGATTCCCTGCTAAAGGGGAAAAAAAGAATATTGCACTGTGCAAAAGGGGCAGCGCGGTCAGACTGAATTCCAGCTTTATCCCCTGCAAAATTGGAAGCCATGGTTACAAGCTGCAATTTTTCTGTGACTGCTTCCTGTGACTTGTTATGGTTTGTTACAGCTTGAGATGGGTAAATGAATGTGTTTGTTCTTTTTGTACAAGCTACATGCATATTGAAACCCTGTGCTGTTTTTCCTTGCTTTTGAACAGATAAAGAAAGAATATGGGAACAACGTAGTGCCCACCTTCCCCCCAAAGAAGATTTTTACCCTAACACCAGCCGAGGTGGAGCAGCGAAGAGAGCAACTGGAAAAGTACATGCAGGCTGGTGCGTAGGACATCAGGGCTCTGCTACATGATATTGTTACGTGTGTTAGGAAGAAAATGAATTCTGTGCAAATACAAAAAAATCTCACATAAGCAAGGGACTTTGTGAAGTGTACTAAGCTTTGACAAAATATCTGATCACATATATATATATATATATATATATATATATATATATATATATATATATATATATATATATATATATATATGTGTATATGTATATGTGTATGTGATCAGATGTTTTGTCAAAGCTTAGTACCTATGGGAATTGTAGTTACTGATTTTGTATTTTGTAATTCATGAACTGTTTCCCTACTGCCCAAATCATCTCCTCAGTGTAGTCATGCGAGCCTCAATGCAGGTTAAGTTCTAGTGTTTATGGTAGCTGCAGTCCATCAGGTAATTTGAATACTTATGAACTAATTTAAATGTTTGTAAGGGCCTTTGCTATACAAAATATACAACAGTTATCTATTTTGCAGGCAGTGATTTGGGTTTTTACTGATTACCTGCCAGAAAAAAAGGGTCACATAAACCTGTCTGTCAATCCAAAGGCTGGTTGACTTTTTGCTGTGGTTACTGCCCTTTCTGGATTTAGCCTATATATGTTTTAGCCCTAACTATGTAATACCTGCTGGTGTGGGTTCAGACATAGATTTTGTTGCTTTTAGTAATATGCAGAATACTATGAGTGTTCATAGTGCCCCCCACCCCTTGTAGGGAATTGAATTATTGTGGGGGAAATAAATTCTGTATATTTCACAAAATAAACATCAGAATTCTAAACTTTTCCACGCTGATTCTGTTCCACTGATTGGGATTATTATTTTTTAGAAGTATTTTGTTTTTGCGGTTTTTATTTCAGGACTGCAGTGTTTTCATTTGTGCTACAACTCCTACAACTTTGGTGGCACCATTGCTACATGCTAAGAAATATATGTGCAGCCCTGGATTTCTGCTTTTTTTGTGCTTTTTCCTTAACCTCTGGATCCCCTGAGATCAAAATGTTCTTTAGACTCATTCTCTCCAGGAGGTTTTGAAAGGTCAGCTGTTTTTGAAGATCACCTCACATGAACCCAGCTGTCCCTGTGACACGTAGTAGGGGCAGACTGACTCTGCCAGGCTAGGGCTGGGCACAGAAAAAGCTTCTAAAGGTGTGAGTCATGCTAAGCCATCACCTCCAGGCAGGATGAGGTTTGATGTCTTTACTTGCACATGAGCAAAGAAGCCACAGCCACTCTGACACCATCTACTATACAGAGGAGCATTTGGTTTAAATTTGCACAGTGATTCATCTCTACTGTCACATACGTGCTTTGACCCAATTAATTCATCGCTTTAAAGCAGCTTGGGACTGGATGTAACCTAGAGTTGGTTTTAATGGGTCAGGGGTTACGTTAGCTGCATACAGAGGAAAGAAGTGTCACTTGGACTGGCAGCACCATGAGCCGTTTGTTCAAATCCATTCCAGTTCTGGCACATTCCGCCAAACAAGCTAAGCCTTGTTGAGCGTATTTGCTCATAGTCTGGGAGCACACAGGCTGTTCTTGGCTGGCTGTTCTCACAGTTACATCATGGTTTAACATGGTTATGGAAAATTAACCGCCTCAAACACACAATCTGTTCACAGTGAATAAATTGTTTGTTTATGTAAACGTGGTGTGGGCTTTTGGAGGGGGGTGCTGATAGCCAACGTGCAATAATGAGAATGTCAATAAACATTCAAGTTTATCCAGCCATCCTACTTCCAGCCCCCTTTTTTCCTTTATTCTTCACAAAAGGCCTTTCACTTATGATGATGGACAGACAAGTCCATTGAGAGAAGCACCATGAACGTCATTACTCAGAGGAATATTACAAAGCTTTAATTAGAAAATACTGAACTGAAATCAGCACAGCATTACATGGTTCGTGTTGGCTTGCTTAATTTGTCATTTATTTATATTTTAAACTTGCTTGACTACAGGAAATGATTCACAAGCATGCATAGCAAGGCTGACCTGCAAATCATTTATTTAAGAAGGACCTTCATGCAAATCATTCTGCTAATTGTTTTGTAAATAGCTTTGTGGACGTTTTAGCTCCAGGCTCAACTTGTTAATGAATGTCATCAAACGTGTGACTCGTGTGGTTTTAAATGTTACAGTACTCCTGACATAATTTGACATGTTCTGTTGTCTCCCCCTCCCTACAGTGCGTCAGGATCCCCTGCTGGGTACGAGTGAGATGTTCAACAGCTTTTTGAGAAAAGCTCAACAGGTACGAGTTGCTGTTGACTGCTGTTTGGAGCTGTATGTATGCCGCTTGTATAAAATGAGAGCTTTGTTGGTGGGGCATCTTGAATATCCTCTGTTCTAGTGTTTTCCTCTGTAACTGCAGCACCTCAGTGTTTGTGTGAGTTTGCCTGTATACTGCCCACCAAATATTTGGGGGGAAATAGGTGTAAAGAAAATGTTTGTAATAAATGAGTGTGTTTGCTTTTTTCAGTTGAAATAACATAGATATTGAGTGCTGTTTAAATTCTTCTATAAAACTGCAAAACTGGAAGAGCAACTGACAGATGCAAGCTTGAGAATAATAACAATAACAGACTCATTCCTTTGTTGGGAAGTCAGCCTTACAGAATTTCTTGCTTTTTAAATAATTGAGTTTGATGTAGTATATAAACATTTCTTAGATTCAAAACATACTGTCCACTCTCCAGTCCGTATAGTCCAAACATGGAACCTAAGCTGCAAAATAGTCCATTTAGAATTCATTGTTTAAGTGATTATCACAAATACCAACACCTTTACACATATCTGCATATTCCGCCTATAGCAGTTTAGCTCCACTCATTCATGCTGAAGCTAAAAGGAGTGCTTTTTGAAAGAAGTTCTTTTTGAAAGAAGCACCTTTTAAAAAAAATATTCTAAGGGATAAAGAGCAGCCAGAAAACAGTCATGTAAAATAAACTGTGGATGTTTTTGACACACAAACCACATAAATGGCATAAGTGGACATAAGTACAAAAAATACAGTGCACAGTCAGTGCATAAATACAGTGTATAGGCCCTTTAAATCATTTTTCCGACCAAAGATTTTCAGTAAGCTGTCAGTTTATTATTTAGGGAAAACCTGCTCTTCGCCAAAGGAGACATTTTGATGAACGTAAAGCTAAATGTTGCGAAAGATCCCCAAAGCATTAGGAAAATGCTCTTGTATATTAGAAAAAACACTTGAAAAATGAAAAGTAACAATGAAAATTAAACATTATTCTGAAAATATGGACAAAGTGTCCCTGAAATGTTGATGGGCAGTGTAGGCCTTGGGTGTGGTGTCGTTTTTTTTCCAGGTTTCTTTTAGATCGCCCAGGCCCTAATGGTCTGCTTCTCACTGACAGCAGGTCGGGGTCTCATTGTGTAGTCAGATCCTGCTTTCCCTGTGGCTTCTCATCACAGGCAGAGCCACAGGAGCAGAATGAGAGATTAGTCAGGCTTTTCTTTGTCATTTCATCTTGTCTGCAAAGATCAGTGGCTGCTCTAAGACCCCCTGCCTGTGCGGGAGTGGAATAGAAAGATGATAAATTAGCAGAGCACCAAGGAGTAGATGGTAAACCGCATAGCATCAGTTGGAAAAGCTTGTCATGTCATTTCTAGTGGCTTCAAGCTTCTTTCCGTGCACTCTAGCGTTTGCTGCACTGATGGTTATTACTGCTTGTACCCTGCGACCATAGGTGAGATTCTCTTATATACTCGTAGATGATATCTCCATGTAATGTCTTGGGAGAAGCCAGCCTCAGAATATACACAAAGCTGAATCTTTGACTGGCTTTGCTTTGGCTCCATTTGATCTTCTGTGCAAATACGTGTTTCTCGGTTGGATGATGTCTCCTTAATGCTGATTCGTTATCTGCGAGAGGAACTGAGTGGGAACAGTTTAAGGTCATGTTGTTCAGCACATATTGAACCCAGTCTTTCCAGAAGGAACGTGTTGTTCTGACGGCTGCTGTTTGTCGTTATTGCAGGAGACACAACAAATCCCTACTGAAGAGGTCCAGCTGGAAGTCCACCTGTCCAATGGCCAGAAAGTTAAAGTCAATATCCTGACTTCAGACCAGACGGAAGATGTGCTTGAGGTAAAGATGCTGTGTGACCAAATCATTATGTTCAGAATCAAATCCCCTTGTGCTCCGTTTTAGTTGTTGTTGCGCCATTGTAGCCAACAAGCTTGCCAACTGGAAAAAAAGACATTGAGGTTTTTTCCTACAAGCTACTTTTTCCATGCAGTTTTATTGGGAAGCATCCAGGAAGCCTCCTGAGACGGAGCGCTGGTGTCTTGTGATCTGGCATGTGTGAATTTTTAACTGATTAAGGTTGTACACCCATCTTTAAAGTGATAGTCTGACCAGATATCAGATTTAGTCTATTTTCCCACTTACTCCAAACTAGAGGACTGCAAAGACATGGAATAGAAACCTGAACCCAACCCATACCCACAACTTTGAGACCCAACCCGTCCAGACCCGACCGGTGCTGCTAAATTTGAGACCTAAACCCAACCTAAATTCGCATACACATACTAAAAGAGAGATTATCACAGACATGGTTTTAGCACTTGAGCTGATCAAGGGACAATATCATACTGCGATAAACTGGTATGGAGACGAAGTTTAAGCTTTGAACTTTAAAAGATGGTGGTGGGACTGAGGTCCAGCTTATGTGTATCAGACCATGATGTCTTCCTCTCATCGCTTCCTTAGTACATGAGAAGTACATTTTTCTGCCATAATTTTAAAGCAATTAAAACACAAGCATCAGCTGAAAACTCGTCTCACTCTGACTGGACCTTATTTGATGCTAGCTGTCATGGTAATATTTATGTGGTTCTCTATGCATGTGCATCAGTTTGGATCTGATTACTTCTAGTGTGCATGTAGACGGAGATTTTCATCAGATTGTTGAGTATCACATTGGCAAAAATCTTTGCATGAGAACACAGCCACTGAGCAAGTTTTGTGTCCAAAGTTTGCTTCTGTGGTTTTGCACAGTGATAAGTGATACATTGACAAAAGTACAGACAATTCTCAGGCCTTGAAGGGTCTATATCCTACACTTGTGTTTTATTTTTCCCTTTCGGTCCACTTATAATGTAATGTACCAACCTGTCTTTATCCCTTAGAATAAAACAGGCTGATTTGATTGCTATATCTTTAAAATTGATACATGCAAGTGAGCCCTCTTCTGATTGGCTGTCCTACTGCACTTCGGAGTGAATGGCATGTTTTTAAACTTTAGCAGTGTTTACAAACTACATCAAACTTTTTTACTTAAAAAAGGAAGGAAAATGCCATTTCCAAGATGGGCTTCTTAAAAAAACAGTTTGTACAGGGCTCCCGAGTGGTACAACCATCCAAGTGTTGGCCCTATCATCAGGGGATCGTGTTAGCCATCTGTGTCCAGGAGTTCGAAAGAGCACAATTGGTCTTGCTCTCACTGGGTGGGTAGGATGGCCCTCCCTCTGCCCCCATCACTTGGTGCAAGGCTAGCCAGCACAAGCGTCTGTTAGCTTAGCTGACGTAACAGAACTGGCAGTTGGAACTTTCGTCCGAGTGTGTTCAGCTGTCCAATGTCATTGCATTAGCAGCAGTTTAAAAAGATGTGGTGGCGCTTCACGGGACTCGGAGGAAGCTTATGTTAGCTTTCACCCTCCTAGTGCTGGTGGTATCATGTGATTGGGGGAGTCTTAGCTAGAGGGTTGAATTGGATGCGAGTAAATTGGGGAGAAAATTGAACCCCACAACAGCCTGTTTCTACCACAGGTTTCATCTATGGGACAAACTTGTGTTCTTATTTAGACATTCCTTGTGTAAAACACATTGGCAATTCTATTACTTAATGACATGACATGGTTTGAGGCACGTTTGTGATGATTTAAACCCATGATACTGCCTATAAGCTCCCATCCCTGCTTAGCTACATTAGCCCTGTTGATTTGATGCAAAAAAGAAAAGAAAATTTGTGTAAATTTCATGTAACAGATTCCGGGAGGTCAGAGCATAGTGATACTGTGTAATTAGTGGCCTGCTTATCATCATGGAAGTATGCTTATCACTGAGAGCCTGAGATTCCTGTTAGGCGTTGAGTAGGACGAGCGAGATTAGTTTCTGCTAGCTTCATGTTTTTAGACTGGAGCTTGTTGGTTTCTGTTCCAGTTTAAATTCAAATGAAAAACCTGAGCCCAGCTGACCAGTCTCTGGAGGAAATGCATTATACCTGTCTGGCTGTGGTCCAGCATGCTCTTCCACTTTTTTGTTTGGCCAAGGTTATAGAGAACGCTGCAGGTGCGCAATTCTCTGTGTTGCTCATTTTTAAATCATTTCTCAGTGTGGGAGCACAGTCTCTGTTTCCTGAACATACCGATGGAATTTCCTTCCCATTACAGACCCCTTTTTCTATCACAAAAGAATAGTCATGGAATGGTGAATCTGGGGCGGGGTGGGTGTGGGGGAAGGTTCATGTGGGGACTTTTTTCTAAAATGCCCTGCATGTACCGCTCTGCCATAAATTGATTAGGCCAAAACCTTCCCAAAACTACTGAGGGAAAAAAAAAACAGCAGAGATCAGGCAGGGGATACGTGACTTTCACATTGTAACGTTCCATGAGCTGCTTTTAGAGGCATTAAATACTTTTTTTTTTTATCAGCACTGCTATGAACGGTTCCAACTCTGTGTATTTGTCTAGAATGGAGCATTTCACAGCAAACAACTCTAAATGAATTCATTTACATCTGAACCTTTCAACAGAACTGTAGAAAAATCAGTGAATTTCCCCTTGAAGATGGTCATCTAAAAGTACTATGCTCAAATTTAGTCTATGAATCTATGCACTAAAAGTAATGCACAGTATTATTAGTATACAAAATCATACAAAATTGCATTCAACTCTCATCAAAAAAAAATATCTCTGACTTCGAATCACTTGATAAATGGGCAAAATTAGACAATTTAAATTAAAATAATTGTCATATAATATTGGGCTACATGTGGCTGCTGTAATCGATTCTTTGAAAGTTAAATTTGTTATAGAATCAAATTAGATGACATTCCTTTTTTTCTTGAAATCCAGTCCATTTTTGACTCATTGGCCTGAATCAGGCCATTGCACATCTCTACCAAAGTGTATGTCCTGCAGTGATCCATGTTTGTCTCTTCTATGGGAGAATATTGTTTATTCAGGAGGGTCCTGGAGGATATTCAGTAGAGCTATAACATGCCTGCAGCAAACTGAGTCAGCAGCAACCTGTTCTTGTTTTCCAGTCTAAGTTGGAAGATTCCAGTTAATGTTTCAAGTCAGCAAACAGAATGGAATGACAAAGCAAAGCCTGACCAATCGGTCATTCTACTCTTGCGGCACTATAATAAAGTGCTCTCAGCATCAATTATGTAATTTAAAGCAACTGGGCATCATTTGATGTCAGAATTGTATTTGTATGACAGTGGCTTTTAGTTTGCCTCTGTTCCTAACAATCCTAAGTGTAATGGAAAATAATTTGCTGTTGTTTGCTCACTCTCACAGAAGTTGGCCAACAAAAGGGCGGTTTGAACTCGGACGGTTCGGACGTGTTTGACCTTGTGCCAGAATGTCTGTGATGCATTGCAGAGCTCCTGAGTTTATTATGCACAGCCTAGAGCCTTCCCCATCGTGTTTTCACCATGGCCCACGTGGCCCTGTGCTACTGAGTCACCGCCAGTTGAGTCCTGCTCAGTGCTTCATTAAAGTACACTTGACCCTGGAGAGTCGCACAGCACACTCAAGCCCTCCAGCGCGAAAATACCGCCAGGCAGAAACTGGCCTTTAGCACCTGGTGATGCACAGCCAAATGACGAGCATGCTGATGAGTAACCTGATCATGAGTTCCATTTGATTATAATGTATAATAGTTAACAGAGAATCCTGCTGTTTGACCTGTATGGAGTGGTGGATTTTTTTTTTTTTTCTAGTGTTCGAATTATACTCTGGCTTTCAAGAGGTGGGGTCTTTTCAAAACGTGCCCAGATATGGACTGTCAGAATGTATGAACATGCATAGCCTCACATTGTAATAATGCTTTGTGTTGTTGTGTGTATTTGAAATTGACAGTGCAGTTAGGGATGGGGGGTGGTTCAAGCTTTTGCTGTGTATTGTAGTTTTAGCTCTGGAAAACAGCATCGCTAATGATAACGTAATTGATCTTGCTTTATTTTGTTGCAGGCACTGAAACTAAGATACTGACCAAATAATACATTACAATCTCTCTGTTCGACAAATTCCTCTGTGCACTCATACATTGGCCAACTTGCACCTCATAAGATGAGTCCACTCAGAACAGCCAATCATGTAGAAGACAACAATCACACAATCATGTGAAGGTCTGCAGATCCCTTCAGAGGTCAAACAATACAAAACCTACAATATAAAGGCTACAATATGAGATTGCTCCACAACCATAATGCATAAATTAGTAGCTGTATTGGATGACTACATCTAATATTGGACTATCATGAGTAGAGGTTCGAGAATGGTTAACCAAACATGTTGACATACATAAAATCAAAGCAAATAAATGCTAACCGACCAGAAAAATTACTCTTTATATCAATTTTTCACGTGTGCCTAAAACCTTTGCCCCTGGACTGTGCAGAAAATTACACAAAAACTTCAACAAATGATATTTTATTTTTTTCAGTATTTAGTGTGTCTAACCTTCACCTTTATTACAGCTTTCATTCTTTTCAGGAGACTTGCTTTTTTCCAAAACAAATCTGCTGGGATATTTTTCCAGACCTCCAGAGTTCAGTTGCATTTTGTGTGTGTGTGTGTGTGTGTGTGTGTGTGTGTGTGTGTGTGTGTTTTTAATTCATTTTTAGTATGTTTTTGGATGGGCAGAAGTAGATTTTCAGATTTTCCGAGTTAGAAATATTTTAATACATTTTTGAACTCAAGTTTTTTAACTTATTTTGCTTTGACTCTCTCCCTCCTTATGCATCTTATATCTAATCTCCTCAGAAATATCTCCTGAAAAAAAAGAACAACTTGTACTTAGTAGCTGTTTTGACTGGAAATTAAATAAATCAGATTTGGGCTCTGACTTACACAGCACTGTACAAGTGCTTCTAGTAGAAACACTTGAACTCTGAGCCCTGCACACACAGATGTATTTGTTCTTGAAATTCAAAGGAAACAACCAAAGCTTAACCAATAACAAACAATAAAATATGTACCAACTATCACACCCATAGAAGTATGAGGAAAAGCTAAAATCTCCCCATCTTTATGCAGATAAACCCACAGGACAGACAGAAACTAGCTCTCACAGGGGAACTTGAGTTTTATTTGATTTCTTTTTTTCCACATAAAGCATTGAGTAGAAGCAAGAGTAGAAATATATTATTATAACAATAAAAGGTTAATAAATGGGGCTATCAGTATCCACGACCCCCACAAACTCCAGATTTTATTGTCTTTTAGAGATCTCAAGCCTTTTTCAGAGGAGCTGAGCTCCCCCTGGCTCCCCCGCAATTCGAACGCTGATTTTACCCTCCCTTTAATTCACTCCGACAGGCCATTTGTGTAGTGGAACAACGCTCATGTGGAAACAGACTTATGCAATTTTCAGACTAAATCAGTGCAACGAAAGCATGGTGGTGCTGCCAGCATCTGAACCTTTCCAGAATTTTCATGCTTTTCTGTGTTATTTTGAAAGGCGTGTTCAGTTATATGGTTATACAAGGCCTCTCTCTCCATGGGACGTCTGTGGAAATCCAGAAAAATGCAGGTTGTCATGATACTGATCCAAATTTCTTCAGCATTCATCTTGGTACATTGAAATGTTCCGTTGGTGTTTTGTTATAAGATTCATTGAAGATGAGAAATGAGTTACACATCAGTTCACCTTACAACAATAACAATAATAATGACTCTTCTCTGTACAGGCAGTTGCAACGAAACTAGACTTGCCTGAAGATTTGGTGGGCTATTTTAGCCTCTTCCTAGTTCAGGAAGGACTGGAGGGAGGCTGCACATGTAAGTATACAGCTTTCATTTGCTGATTTGGCAAAATTTCTGCATCAGCAGTTTCTAGCCTGTCTTATTTACAGTAGATCATAGCACATATTTTAGTGATATTAGAATTTAAAATGCTGTCAGTAATATCAGTGTGTTGAAAGTATGATTTTATTATTGTGAGGGGGTGGTGTGTTGAAACTTCTTACCCGATTAACTTTGCCTTTATATGCTGAAACACTTGATCCTCTTAACAAAGGAGAGATTTGAACCAAAGCCACCTTTTCAGACCATTCAGAGTTTGAAACACTGCAGCTATTTATTCTCTAAAAGGAGAACAAGTTCAAGTGGGAGAGTTGTTGTAAGTCTTTGTTATTATGACATGAACAACTGTGCCATAGCCTGATTAGTTCAACAACCTCTCAGTAATAATCAAGGCACTTATTTTGTCCTTTTTAGGAAAAATTGTGAGGACAAAGCGATTAGGTCTTGTTGAACCGTTAGTTATGCCTGGGTGCATTGATCCCTGGTTGCCAGAGAACCTTCTGGAATAGGTGCCACCACAGCAATATTCAAATGTGTGTTGTATTGACCGACCAGATCTATTGTCCTTGGCTTGGTCCTACATTAAAAACACCAACATAAGTAAAACATTCTCAGTCTGATGCATTAACCTTTTTCCATTGTGTTTGATTTCTGTATTTGCACTGTGCACTTTCCTTGATGGAGACTAATGCCTATGAGTACATTTACAGTCCTGTGCAAAAGTCAGAGACCACCCTTTGTTTATTTAATTTAATTTCAAGTTATTAATTTTGCAGGAGATATTTCTATGGTGATTTGATATGAGATACTCAACTTGCAAATGGAATGGTTCAAGGAAAATAATAGGAGTTTCCAAGACTTCAGTATTAATAAATTAAGATATGGAGAAAATGAGACTCCTAACTATCATACATAACCTGGTAGACCATCAACACTGTCCCTGACAAATAAACAGTACTTAAAGCTTACATCTTTGAGAGAAAGGAGAAAATCAAGCTCCACTTTTGCTTCAGACTTGGAAAAAATCCACAGGTGTTTCTGTCCTTCTACTGTGAGAAGACAACTCAACACTATGAGTCTGAAAGGATGTGTAGCTGTCATAAAGCCAATACTGAGAAAAGAAAACAGATAAAAAGGAAGAAAATTTGCAAATTAAACAAAGAAGGTGCTGGTGTTCTCAGAATAATGGACTGACCTCCCCAGAATCCAGACCTCAACATCACTGAATGTGTTTGGGATTACGTGGATCATGAGAAGCAGAAAATGCAACCAACTTCTTAGACTGAACTTTGGAGGTGTGGCAAAATATCCCTGCAGATTTCTTTGAAAAACTGAAAGTAAGCCTTCCGCAAAGAATAGAAGCTGTAATACAATTAAAAAAGGAAAACTGAAATACTGAAAAGTGTATTATTATATTTCTTTTTTTCCTTGACACTGAAAAATTAAGAATTTGTACTTTAATGGCTGTTTTGACTGGAAATTAAATAAATGAAGGGGGGTCTTAGACTTGTGCACAGTACTATATAATCTTCCTAAAGTCTCACAAACTAGAATAGATACATTGTTCTAGTATATTTTAGGGCTGTCACTATCAAATAGAGTAACTTACCAGTTAATAGAGACCATTGATGGAGCAGTGGAGGAATGGTGTTTTTAAAAAGACCAAACATGAAAATATGGACTTTAAAATATGGAATTTTTTTTTGGTTCCTTTTCTTTCAAAATAAATGTGGGTTGGTTAGGTTCACATGCATTCTGCATCATCGGTTCTTGATGAAAGATGAATAAATTTATGTAATTTCTGTCCTGTAGTTTTCACTCTGCATTTCTTGTGTTTTGCTAGCAACGCATAGATATTTATGCTCACAGAGAGATATTGTTTAACTGTTGCTTATGTTTGCATTTTGTTTTTCCATGAACTTGTTAAAGGCTTGACACACAAGTCTGATTTCACTCTCAAACTGGCAGTGTCTCCTCTTTCATTCTCTGCAGATGTCTATCTGTCTGTCTCTCTGTTGTGGCTTTTGTTTGTAACTCTGTGTCTTAAGCGAAGTCAGCTTTCTGTTTCTTACTGCTGTTAATATCAGTCTGCAAATATTCCTCTTATGACTGTTGGCCATTTTGCTGCTTTTGGATGGTGTCTCCACCATGTGGAGTTGAGGATGCCTTCTCTTTCCCTGGGGAACTCGCTCCACTTCTTCACTTCCTTTGCATTTCCTTCTCTCACTCCCCTCTGCTCCATTTTTCTCCCGCCGTGCTGGTTGCCAAACCCTTCTTTGGAAGCAGGATAAGATTCTGTCAGACGTGATAAAAACCTTGCTTTATGGGGACTCTCTATAGGCCCAAAGCAGCCGAAGAGCTGTGCCTGGTGTCACAGTGATCATTGGCAGTTGTATGTGGACTGAAAGATAGTTGAGGGGGTGGGGATATAACAGCCTCCATGTACAATGAATGGTTTGGCAGAGTGTTGGGGGAGTGAAAATAAGAAGTTAATGCCAACATGTTCGGCAGCCAATCAGTAAACAAACTGGTACTGAAACAGATAGCATGTGCAGGAAATGAAAACTTATTTCTAGTACTGAAAGAACAGATTTACGGTGAGATTACAGTGGGCTTGTATTTAATGCTGTGTGGTACAGGAGTACAGCAGTATTGATTTTCACTTAGCAGTAATAATGGATAACAATAAAGAGGTGAACTGCACTGTAAGTAATCACAGTGCTTCAGACTGCTTTTAAAGAACAGATACAAATACCTAAACAAAGTAGTAAGTTTCCATTCTGGAACTCTGGTATGTGTCTGGTTAATGTTTGCAATACTGTGCTGTACTTTGGTGTAATATTAAGAGAAGCAAAACTTAACAGTCCAATAAAACCCGTGTCAGGTTTGTAAGATACAGCAGAGAGTACCAGTACTAAAGAAGTGTGGATTCATTAACTTTAACTTTACTAATGCGAACTTTAAGCTTAGCTCATCAGTTTTGGAAGAAGTTAGCTGAAGCTAGCTGTTTTGACACTCAGCAGACAAATAAATACGACTGCTCCCTTTAGTGTTCTCTTCAAAGCTTGCTCTCAAAACATGGGTTGCCAAGGCTGGATCTCTTGAATGCTATAATCTATACAAATGATGCCACAAGCAAACACTGACACAGCTTATCAGCTGATCATATTATGTATTTAGCTCACTACCTGTAAGTCTAGACTACAGCTTCCCACTATATGTTGTGGTGCAGTGTGATTGAAACGCTAATGAATGAGCCTTCTTGTCCTGATTGGTTAGATGCTGTTGGTCCACTTCATTTGTTTTTAATACCATTTACAAAGCCTGTGAATAGGAGTACAGCTGTAAGCAAAAGTTTAAGCAGCCCTGGTCAAAACTTTTTTTTTAAGTAAAAGTTAGTTAAAACATCCTCCAGAAAGAACAAACTTAAATATTTTTTTTAACTTAAATAATTTCAGTGCACTTTTCTCTTTTTGCTAAGTATAACATATTAGAAAAAAACACAAAATATAAAATGTGCCATTACTTTTGCACAGGCAAGTTTTTTTTTATCACATTCAGCAAATAAAAAAAGAATTGTATAATAAATTGTATACAAGTGTGTTCTCTGTATGCAATGTGTTAACATTATTTTCACTTAGAAATTCAACAAAACATGTAATTTGACCACAGACAGCAACATTTTTTGCATACAACTGTATCACCAAATATTACAAATTGTTCTGACATTAAAAAATAAAGAACTGTGATCCCACCTTTTAAGTATTGTCATTATGATATTGTGATACTGAAAGCACTGTTGACTAGTTAAAGTATTCACTAGATTTTTATATGAAAACCACAGTTTGAAGCATCACAAGAGCTGCAGTTTTAATCATGTCTTATATTATTCAACATTGTCTTTAGTTTTAAGTGGGGAAATTTGACCTAATAATGTAGAGTTTGTAAACTGGCCGTTTACAGTGCTGCATTACATACAGCGTTTAAGCCTCAGTTTCAAAAACATGGATAGTGCAAATAAAAGGCTTGGAGTTTAATTCATAGAAAATAATTGCATTTAAATCACAGTTGCAAAATTGATCAGAAACATCACAATCAGATATTTACCTCAAATTGTTCTGCTTTACCATTTACAGAAAAAATACTTTAAAAGCACTTAGGGTAGGGTGTCGTTCAGCAGATTTGTATCTTTCGATTTAGAAACTCACAGTGCCTTTTCAGTTCTCTATCCCCCAGCTGCCATCTTCCTCCTCTTCTCCTCGTCTCTGGAGAAAAGAAAACACTTTTTAAACAGCTGCGGCATCTACCCGCTCCCTCCCTTGTGTCCTCGGCCTGCCAACAGATAGACATGTTATTGTGCCCTCCTGGGCTTTGGCCAGATGGATTTTCCTCATCTCTCTTTGCGTGTTGTTCTTGTTTTCATTCGAGCGTCCTTGAAGGTACTCCTACGCTCACTCCTCTTCTGTCTGTCTCTTGTCTCCATGTTGTCTCCCATGGTGCTGCAGTCGTGAGGAAGCTGCAGGAGTTCGAGCTGCCCTATGTGTCAGTCACCAGCTTGCGCAATCCAGACTATCACATCGTCCTCCGGAAAAGGTACGCCACAACATCACTGTGTAAAAGTAGGTCATCACTACAATATAGAGGTGGGGGATATGACAATATGATGTTACTATTGTTATTATCACAATAAATTATATCACAGTGTATTCTTCTGAGTGTATCTTGTGTATTGTCACTACTTGACACACTGTTTCATTAAAAAGAGACTTCGTAATAGAATAGCTGTCTAAGATTGTTCTGTTGTGGATAGATGGTAAGTTTAAATCCAGGAGAACATAAATGACTCTGTTATGATTATCTGAATGTACACTACTGTACAGTAGTCAGAGACCCTTTCATTTTTGAAGACCACCGTTTCAGCTAGTACAAGCTATTTGTTTCAGTGTCAGAAAAAAGTGGAAAACTTATTTAACAGAAAATTACACAAAAGACTCAGCAACTAAATAGTATATTTTTCAGTGTTTAATGTGCCCAACACATTACTGTTTCAGACCTTCAAAGTTCAGTCCTAGAAGTTGGTTGTATTTTATTCTTCTCACAATGTAAATAATCCAAACACATTCAGTGATGTTGAGGTCTGGACTCTGGGGTGGTGAGTCCATCAGTTATTGGTGGTCTACGAGGTCTTATTAGGAGTCCCATTTTCAATTGTTTTCTTTTGCCTTTCACCTTCCATATGCAAGTGGATTGTTTTATATCTCTAATCTCAGAACAAATACACTGAAAAAGAAAAACTTGTGCTGGTTATTTTGACTGAAAATTAAATAAATAAATAAAATAAATAGTGTTCTCTGACTTTTGCACAGTGTGGTGTGTAAAATATAAAAACTGCTTATGTATTATGTGTTTTGAACTAAAAACAAAATGTTATGTCACCATACTTGAAGACGATATACATTTTGTCCTACTGCTCACCTTATTTGAGTTTAGCTTCAGAACATTAGATTTTCCTTTTCCAAATGCATAGTGAATATTGCAGCCTTTCTTTTTACAAGGTGCCCTGTTTAGCTTTACTGTAATCTGCACTTTATTATGTAGCATCTTAAAGCCAGTGTATGAATTTACTTAGCAGCATCATCAGCCCAGCCTGGTTTGTGAGGCTTTCTTTAGCTCTCAGTGGGGCTCTTTTTGAATCTGTGCATTTGAAACTCCAAAGGCTCTTGATTTGGTGTTTGGGGAGTGTGAGGCTCCATTCCTTCTGAAACTTAAAACTGTATCAGCATAGAAGAACATAGTTGAAACGAGATATACTTCAAGGTCTGGAACTTGTTTCTCGTTCTTCGCCCTAGTAATCCATCCTTGCAGAGTTGATAAATATTGATATTAGCTTAATTATTGATACTCTGGTATGTTGTGTATTTTGGCCAGCTTGATCCGATTTGTGAAATAATTGTGCTGAAACATTTTCTCTCCGTATTTCACAATACTCTCTTACCTCCTTCGTCCACACACACACACACACACACACACACACACACACACACACACACACACACACACACACTCCCTTTCTCAACACACCACAAACTCCTAAAAGAGGCACACAGGACGACTGCATGTGGACTTTCCTCCTGTCTGACCCTGTTAAAGAGCCCCAGTCCTCCTGACCTACTTTTTCCACAGAGTGTAGAAAGCAAGCGTTCAGCCAGCAGCATGACTCAAGTGGGGTGTTTATATATACATATCTCAGGAATGGAATCGAAGTCACAGTTACGGAGATCATAGTAACAGAGGGATGAGAAAGAGGAGATAGGAATATAAAACTTTGACAGAGAAACGGCCAAAACATGGTTACAGTGGAAAGATTTTTTTTTTTTATTACAAAAATGTGCATGCCTCCCCATCAGTTACAGCGTAGTCTCCAAGAAGAACAATATTCTTGTTATATTGTTAAAATGTGGGGAAAAAGTTGATTACAGAGTCTCAAGTGACAGCTGGAAATCCACTTCCCTTACAACTTGAGTGTTTTCATTTCTTTGTACGGTACAGTTCATCACTGTCGGAACAAAACCTTGTATCTCCTTAACTTTTACTGGAAGTCAGTGAAACAATATGTAATTTTAAAACATTCCTGTTGGTCCATTCATTAAGAATTTCTCACACGGTCTAAAGGACAGCTGGTATTTTCAAATTATGAAAAAATGACAGAATACAAGGTTTAGTTCCAACAGATGTGAAAACACCTTTTATTCTCTTGGCCCTGTAATTTTGAAATACTGTTTTTTGCTTTTATAAGTCCCTGTTTGTTTTAACAAGAGTGCTTCAGAGATTTATATTTCTGGGGGAGTAAATACCCAAAGGCCATGAATACAGTAAAGTTTACATTGCGGTACATGAAAATAATGTTTCAAAACCATTTAGCATGACTAAACCACTTTGCTTTGTTTTCTTATTCCATTGTAGCTACTGGGACTCCGCATATGACAGTGATGTTATGGAGAACAGGGTGGGCCTTAATTTGTTATATGCTCAGGTAAGCCCTTTTTGTACCGTGAAAACTGTACAAAAAAGTGTAGAAAAATAAAATAATAAAGCCAACTTACTGTTCTTTTTGTTATTCTTCTTTTTCATCCCTTTCTTTCTTTCATTCATTCATTCATTTATTTATTTATTTATTTAAGAACAGCAAAATATTTGTTTAGAACTGTGAACATTTGCAGAATCATAGAGCCTATATGGGAATACTGCAGTACTTTCGGGACCAAACTAACGTACGGTTTTCGTACAGTGGTTTGTGTTTTTTCAACCACTTGGGGTACCATAGCAACACTTAACAACCACCTAGGATTTCATAGCAGCAACTTAATCAAGTCAGCTTAAAGTTAACTTTCCCCTTTTAGTTCTTTTTATTGACTTGAAGCTAAAAGTTTGTTTGTCTCTCGAGAGGAACCCGGTGTCTTATAATGTATTATACAAATTGGTGACATTAGGAAAAACCATGTTTCTCATAAATTAGTGGAGAAACATAACGAGTGCAGATGCTTCCAAACAGGAGTACTGCATGATGCAGTTAAGCAATTAATATTCTACTATAGTTTGTGGCATGTAACAAAAATGCTGAGCAGGCCCAGCTGACCTTGATTTTGGATCAAGATTGCAAGAAAAAAAGGTTTAAGTGACTTTGAAAGAAGTTCCCGGTTGTGGCATGGAGGACTGGAGCTTCACAAAGACTGCTTCAGTGTTCCAGCAGTAACAGTGACTGAAGTGACAGATCTGTGACAAAGACTTCAGCAAATAGAGTTCGACATTTGAAGCTGTTCTGGCAGCTCATGGTGGCTTTACACCTTACTAAGACGTCTCATGTATATAGAAGACACACACATTTTCTAAAATAGTTATAGCTTCTGCTTGGTTTTAAAACTGGCCCTGTTCATTTTCTGTAGATGGCAAATTATTCATATTTCTAAGTGATGTTGAGGTTTTAGTGCACCAGCCTGAAATATTACTGTTGTGACTAATTGTGTCAGAGGCTGAGCCCCAGAACATCTGATGTTAAGTTAGGTGCTGTTTTCCCTTTTGCTCACAATTAAATGATTTGTTTTTGCCTTCATACACACAAAAACAGTAACTCTAGAGTGAAACCCATAAACTGGCCAACATTCATTTTAAATTCATCCATCATTAGGAGCTGTATGAATTATTGAAAAGAAGAAATTGTCTTTAGCGCTCATTAGTTTGTCAGAATATGGTGTCAGGAAAATAAGTGATGATCTTTTGAAGCTTCATTCAAGCTCAGAAATCATCTTTGTGCCATAGTGACAAATGTACATGTACATTACTCTATTTAGATCTACAGATTATTAGATTATAGATTAGTAGATTTGAGAAAATGTGTAATCTCTGTAGGAGGGTGTACATGGCCCCTTTACAGTATTGTTTAGACAAAGTGAGGTAAAGCTTTTCTTCTCTTTTCAGACGGTGTCTGACATTGAGCGGGGCTGGATTCTCGTGAACAAAGACCAGCACAGACAGCTGAAATCCCTGCAGGAAAAGGGCTCAAAGAAAGAGGTGAGAAAGAATCTCCTGAGCACAGACGCTTCTGATCTCATGAGTATCTGCAGTCCATCTTTAAGCATTGTGTTCAAACAAACACTGCTCTTTGTCTCATCGGGTTTAAATGACTTAATAATTTGTATTATGTTTGATATCGTTATTTATTGACGTTATTATTATTATTATTGTTGTTGTTGTTGTTGTTGTTATTTTTTAATCACTTGGCATAGAAATGCGGCCTGTGTCTAGATGTTCTCTGTATACGCATTTAAAAGGCAAGTGCAGCGGTGAACATGACATGTATTCAGATCTAGATGTCCTGATCCAGAGGTATGCAATGCGTAAATGTGTAAATGCAGTGTGGCCAGCTTGGCTAAATTTGGCAACACTTGAAATGATTGCTATTTCTCTCATTGAACAAGCTAGTTTTAGGTGTTTGCAAGTGTATACAGGTGTAGGCTTATAAACGCAAAAGCTCAAAAGCAATTTGCCATCTAAAAAGGACAGTGCACAGTTCTCTCTCTTTTAAACCATATTTTTTTCCATACGTGCTGGAGTCGTGGTTGCTAAGCAAACCATACATAACTCACTGTCTCTTCTTTCTCTTCTTTGTGGCTTAAAATGCCTGGAAAGCTGAAAGGGCTCATAGCACCCTAGTGCTGAAAGGGCTCATATATAGTCACATACATGTACAATCATGCTAACATTTTGGATGTTAAGTGTCTTTAATTGTTTTGTCCATGTCTCATGCTTATAGTTCATCAGATTGGCCCAGACCCTGAAGTACTTTGGCTATATCAAGTTTGATCCCTGCATCACAGACTTCCCAGAAAAGGGATGTCACGTCATCGTCAGCGCCGGCAACAATGAGCTCAACTTTCATGTCAAACTGCCCAATAACCAGATGAAGGAGGGCAGCTTCAAAGTTACACGCATGAGGTGCTGGCGGGTCACGTCTTCTGTAAGTGTAATTAGAGAATTGTGTAATAATAATGTTATTTAAAGTAATTCTGAAACTGTTTACATCTTTGATCATGCATAATTCATCATCTACTATTTACATCTTTATTATGTCATATATTTCACCCTCCCCTGTTACCACCCCCACCTGTTATTAAGGGCAAATGCTCAGCTTCCCCAAAGAGCCTCCCTAATATTGTTTCACTCAGAAATATATTGCTGTATGAAAGGAAAATGCATTATGATGCCCTATTCACATTGACTTCAAGGGCCCATATCTTACAAAAACAAAATTTCCTCACTTATTAAAATAAAGAGTTTGATGATGTATGGAAATTTTGTTAAAGTTTCAAAGCATACCGTTCACTCGCCAGTCCATATATGAAAACTAAGTTTCATAAACGAGGCACAATCCAGGCCAGCCAATCAGAACAGATCTGATTTACATATCAGTCTTAAAGGCACAGTAACAAAAACAGCCTGTTTAATTCTAAGGGATAAAGAGAAGTTAGATTAATTATGACTGTTTTTGTTACATAAAACCATAAGCACACCTCAAAGAAAAAGGTAAAACACATGCACAAAAATGAGGATATGGGCTCTTTAACAGCTCTGCACTCTTTAAAAATAAAGGTGCCAAATACGGTACTTTGGAGTCATGCCATAAAAGAACCACTTTTGGTTCCCTTTTCAATGGTTTCAAGAATCTTCTTAAAGTTTACGGGATCTCCACAAAATGTAAAGCTTCTATTCAAATAAACTGTTCTACCTAGAACCATACATCCAATCCAAGAACCATAAACAAACCTTTATTTTTAAGAGTATTTACAGAGTATTTTCAGCTCTTGCTTCACCTTGTTGAGGGTTTCTAGAGCAAGCTGTGTGGGTTAGGATGGAAAAAGTTAATTGCTGCAGCTATGTTGTTACAATCAGTGTCAAATTTGTTTGACTGAGCTTCGTTAAATGTGATGCAAGCCCTGGGTAATCCATATTTAGTAATGTTTAAAACGTTTGCTCCATGATGAGGAAAAACAACAGTGAAGCAGACAGAATAGCTTGGGAGTGACTCAAAGCTGCAAGACAACTTCCTGATGATTTCCTTCAACATTTTTCTGCAGTCATAGCAAATGCATGACTCTGTCTTTAGGCGTCTCCGGTGTAAATATGTCTCTTCCGCAAACGGGGTCTGGGTAACGTGGGTGTCTGCCACAGTAGGCACGGGCCAACTGTGACTGGCTAAAGAATCTCATTAAAGAGAGTGAGCTTAAACGGTCCTCCAACAGCCATCAGTGCCAGCCACTCATCTGTCTTAGCCTTGGCTTTCATCCATCTGCTTTTAGAAATGCGGTGACTGCTGTGCTGTTTTCATCAGAACGCCTCTGCCTCTCTACTTCACTGTAGTCACAGGATATTAGTACCGCACTGTGGATAACATTACTCATCTTGCAATGCTGAATTTTTTTTTTTTTCCCCTCCCCACTTAAGCACGTTACAGATTGCTTTGGAGGCATTTCAGTCTGGATGGTACTTGGTACCATGTAAGCAAATGTTTTTTCTCTTTACAGATCCAGGCCTTAAAAGTTGAACCACAGCTGCTATTCATCTTGCTCAATACTTAGGGAAATCATTTTCAGACAAAGAACTAAATAAAACTCTCCTACACTGATAGCTGGCTCTCTTATCACCCTTGGGTTTCCAGAAGAGGATGTGGAAACACTGTATATTCAAATCCAAACATGTTTGTGTGCTCAGGCCTTCCATTAGCAGAGAGGATGTTGTCTCTGTTCCAGGAGGCAGCAACTTCAGCTGAGGCATGGCCACTGTGGCTCTGAAAGAGCAGAGTTAAGTTGCTAATGAGCTCCAAAGAGATATGATATCTCTGTAATAAGACCTGCAGAGTTTAGCTTAGAAGCTTAAAATACAGAGGAAAGAATAATGTAGCTCTTTTCCTCTTGTGCTGTTAAATGCAGTCCTAATGAGATATAACCTTGGACACCATTGGAGATAATGAGCAAAGTGACGTTAGGGATACGGCTAATAATTGGGAACTAATTCGAATTTGATGATGTGAAGGGATGAAGAAATGATCATGATACAAATAATCAGAAGAATGATTATGATGATGATGATGATGATGATGGTTATGTTTCCATTGTGTAGCAAGTCCCAGTGGCCAATGGCACAGCGAACCCCTGCAGCTCCAGCAAGTGTGAGGTCAAACTGGAACTGGCCTTCGAATATCTGATGAGCAAAGACCGTCTGCAGTGGGTCACCATCACAAGTCCACAGGTCAGCGCAACGTCCACAGAACTTCATCCACTTTGGAATTTGTCTGAAATGTTTCATTCTTTTTTTTTTTTTCTTTCTTTTTTTTGTTTTATTTTTTATTTTTCTTGTTTGTTAATACCTCACACTGAGAAAAACCTACAAGAAAGACAAATTACACTCCAGAGGTGGGCAGTATCACAAAAATATAACATTGAACATTTCTTGAAGTATCACAATGTAAATGAGATCTAACAATATTTATTTTTTCAGATATCTGATCAGTTGGAAGAGAGAAAAAGGAACCAGTAGTGCTATTTAAAAAAATACCCCAAAAAAACAAAACTGTGAATACAGTTATTTTTTATTTAGTATTATGCATACTTTGTTGCACTAAATCCAGTTAAACAGAACTAATTTTCCTCTCTTTATGATGAAACAGACAGTTGGTCAGTGGTCTACAAGTACTGATGATATGTTCAAAAAACAGATTTGTTTGTATTGTGATAAGTTTTTGGTTTGGACATAGTTATTTAAACTTTAAAAAACATTCTTTACACTTGCATGTCATTTACAAAAATGAGATTTTGTAAATGAGGGTCATTTCTTAACTCTTTACTCCATGGTATTGCCATATGGCAACAATAAATTTGTGTTTCTGTATTCTTAAAAGATTTAAAAGAAATTGGCTATGCTCCTGTTCTTTTTTTTTTTTCATGCCTTGATTAATATGGCTAGCATATTAGTTTACTTCTGCTGTATGCTTTATAGAGTGTGTTGTCACATGCTGTTGCCATTTTGCAACAATACACAAAGTATCCAGAAAAATACATATATTTCTTTCAAATTTTTAAATATTTTTATTCATTGACATTTCTAAAAATCATAATAGTTTTGCATGCGTTTCATAATTTGTGCAGTAAAGCCATCAACCGAAAAAGGTTCTTTTAAAGTGGTTTTAATTAGTCAATTTAAAACTATTAAATTGTAGACTGTAGTGCTACTCCAAAGAACCTTTTTTGGTGCCTTTATTTTTAAGAGTATAATATCTACACAGATGGCTCCTGGAGGTCTGGCTGAGTGTCTCTAAACTGCTACGGTTGATTTTTCCAGGCAATCATGATGAGCATCTGTCTCCAGTCGATGGTAGATGAACTGATGGTGAAGAAGTCTGGGGGAAGCATTAAGAAAGTCAGTTTCTCTGTTTTATTCTTAACTGCCAAATGTCTGTTGAATTCCTTCAGTTTGGTTAGTGTGCATGTAGGTATGTGTGCACATGTGTAAATGTGAACACTCAAATCATAATAGTCTCATGAGCTGAAATGTCTAATTCATTACGTTTGCTTCAATTGACACTTGCATATTCTTGAGAACTCGCTTGATTTATCTGTATTTCTAAGCAGACTTTATCAGCTAGCACAAGAAGCTGTCTCAGTCTGTATCAGGCAGAAAGCCCAGGTCTCTTTAGGATGCCCTGCACAACTCGCTGTGTGTGCAGCAGGGATTTCGCACACTCTCAAATGTGTGGATTTGCCTCAGAGCTCAGCACTGAGTAAACATTTCCCTGTTTATCCAGAGACTTCACTGTTATTACGCTGTAGTGTCACTGGAGAGTAGGTTCCGTCTTGAGCGTGGTTACACATGTCTGTGAAGTCTGTTCTCTACACCCTCTCAGATTCTAATATTAATACTGTATGTGTTCAGCAGATGCAGAAGAAGCGTCTCAACGGCTCCATCCATCGATCGGACAGTCAGCAAGCTGTGAAGTCTCCTCCGTTACTGGTAAGGAACAAGTTTAATTGCAGCATGCTTTTTCACTGTGAAGCTGAGCAGTTTTAAGTGTTTATTTTTTATATGTCTAGGACTCTCCTGATCCGAATCGAGAACAAGTAGTCAAACTCTCGGTGAGTTCCAGCCCAGTTTTTCATTTCCCATAATACACCATATATGGGCCCACTAACCTTTTCTCATTTCTTTTTCTTCTTTCTCACTTCTTTCTCTCTGATTATATTTTTTTGTAATTCCTCTAATCTTTGTGTTTATCAGACCAAGCTGAGTTCCGTTTCCCTGAGGGGGATCAGTGCCTCCAACTCGGCTAATGATATCAGTGGCAATGATTTCCATGGAAACTATGCCTTCGAGGGGATTGGAGATGATGACCTGTGATGCTCCTCTTAGACTGAACCACAGGAGAGCTGAGCCAAGCCTATTTTAGCAGAGGGGGGCACACGGTTCTGCAAGATTCCAACCCCACTGAGCACTCTTTTGCCATAAGGTCTAATACAGCATTACTCTAAAAGTCCAAAGCACACATGCACATAGGGGCTGAATGATACTGGGTGGTAAATCACATTGTGATATTTTAGCTTTTTGCAATAAATATTGCGATATTTGGGGGAAAAAAGTCAAATAATGACCATTATACACTAAAGCAGTGGAAGGGGCGCATTTAGAAGGAGAAATAAGGCATATGTTTAATATCTGGTTAGAACTGCTTGATGTGGACGAAAATACCCTGTTGCAGTTGTAGTATGCCTTCCACAATATTGAAAACACATTAGGGAACCCCTTTGATGCGCAGTCGTTAAGAATTGACCTGCTTTATCTCTGACCAAGATTATTTATCATCACTGTCAAAAAAAACTTTAAAAAAAATTCTGTGTCTAAAATGGTAACTTTACAGGAAAAGACAAAAACGTTCTTAACTCTCAGTGTAAGTTAAGTAACAAAAAGTTGAAGTAATTTCAGATCATTTACGTTGGTCCATTCGTCAAAGTGAAGGATAGCTGCCATGCGCAAATGTTGAAAAATAAAAAACGGAGATATGGTTTTGATATGACAGCAACGTTATTTTGTTGAATCATGTTGAATGAATGCCTTGATTCCTCAAAACACCCAAACAACATCTGCGATTGATCAGGAGGCTCACAGCTCACAAAAACATTCTGGGAGGGGTTAGAGGCTCATTTGCGTATTGCACCCTTCTGCAGTATAAGTATTGCAGAGGCTGATGTGATGATAACATTATGAAGAGTAAGGAACAACATGTTGTGCATCCCTAATATTCACCACAAACAAGTAAGGATCCTACATATTATCAGTTACCACATGGCTCTGACATAAGCACAGGTCTTTGATTTGTTCAGAGAACAGTACACAAACTACATTCAGTTAGCAAACCACGGTTTAAACAAGAATACATGTTCAAAACCTCTTGCTCGTAGGCATATCCTGTTTGGGACGGTGACATCCTTTAAGCATTCACAGGGGTTTGCATAATTAAGTTGGGGCTAGTTTATTGCATCCAAGACAGAGAGAGACATATTTATTGGCTGTGATGAAGGTTGCTGCTTATGTTAGCCTCCATTGAACAGTACTTCCTTATTAGAGACTCAAAGCTGTGCTTTCTCATCCCGTTTCTGTTACCGAATGGTTAGGTATTACATGAATTCCATGCCATCTTATCTCAAGCTGATGACTGCAGTGAAAGCTTTCTGTAGGTCTGAACACTGATTTGATCAGGTACAAACATGTTAACATTAGCTGGTTAAAATTATGACCATGGCCTCATGAATGCAGTGACCATTATAATGTGTTTTATTGTAAAACTAGGAAGAGCATAACCAGGTAAAAGTTCAGGGGAAACTGCTGCCTTCATTACTTCCGGTGTGCTAGTTCTTGCCAATCATGTCATTGTTGTTATCTAACAATGCCTTCAGAACCTTTTGTTGTCTCTTCAGCAGCATCATTTTCGATGTGCTGAACAGAAGTCTCAGTACAGGTTCTAAATGTAAACTTACTCATCCTACTCAGATCATGAATCATGCAAAACATAGTCCTAGAGTGGCCTGCTTTTTCCCTTTGCCTTACAATAACTCAGCCGCCTTACATTTTAGGATCTGCTCGTCAGTTTGAATCAAAATCCAGCATTTGGAACCAATTGGCTTTGAGCCGTTTCAGTGTTAGGTCCTAGCCAATGAAAGCTCTGGCAAGAAATCTTGCAGAATTTAGTGGAGTTCTGTTAGTGCGTTTGGCAGAACTGCTTGCACATGCTGAACCCATGATTTTGCACAGTATTAACAAGGACAGATGGCATGACTGATATTTATTGATATATTAACCATAGAAAACATTCTTGAACATGTAGAAGTAGTTTGGAATATCTGTCGTTTGATTCTTCTTCCTGTTTTATTTTTCCAGCCAATACTTTGTGAAAGGTTTCTCATAAATGCCAAAATTATAGTTTACTAAAGCATTTTGCACAAAAAAAGAAAACATTTAAAATCATGGTTATGTCACTTTTATAAATGTACATGCAATTAAGAAAAAGTATTCAAAACATTTTACTAATATGTATTACTGTTAGTATATTATAATCAGATACATTAGATCAAATATAATCTAAGCTGTGTTTAAAAAAAAAAATTAGACTAACATCTATCATTGTTTACAGAATTGTAGAAAATTTAAAGTAGAAATTTGAAAGAGAGAAGTGTTTACAGATTCCACGTCTGAATTTCAGTGATTGTCTTTCACTCATGCATTTTATTTTTTGAGAACATCATGCTTTTTTAATATCCATTTTGTATTTTATCAAATACTTCATGGCAATCATCTCAGAGAACTGTGTGAAAATGGTGCTTGGAAAATGGCTATTTTGAAATTTCATGCTAGCAAAGTTGTCAATCTGAGCAAGATGGCCATATTTCCCATTTTGTGATGGCCTTCATTCCAGAGACACAGTCTCCAATGTGATTCCTGCTTAACCAGATACCGTGAACAGGACTGATTGTGTTCAGGTGTTGGAGAAAATGATCAACATTTGTCTCACCTGTCTGAGACGTAATGAAAGAAGAGCACGTTCTCATGTTGGTCAAAGGGTTTCTGATCATTTTATTAATGTGTGTATTATATGATTGCTGACTTCAGTTTGCTCACCAGCATATCTAGAAGAGAAAGAAGGGTTCATGCTATGTACTCAATGCTAGAGTATCACATAAAGCCTATAAATGTGCTTTTATCTTCATCACCATGTTAAATTTAGGAACAATGAAAAGTCCTGGATTTCAATAAATTTAGGTGCCAAATAATTTAAATGTGGTGATGTGTTTATTTTATTTATTTATCTATTTATATTATACATTTGAGTGTGTTGGGAAACTGACAGCAGTGACTAAAGGATTGCCTTCTTGCTGTGATTGGAAGGTGTTCAGAGGTAAGATTCCTGTTGAATCTTAGGGTTTGATATAATTCTTTACTGCCCGTTAAAGATGTTTACTCCTGTAAACATTTTTAATGGGCAAATATTACAAGGCTGCTGTATTTCTCGAAGAAAATCAATATAAAAACATCAATTCTAAAACAGCTGGGACTGCATGTGAAAAATGCAAATAAAACAAAATTGTAAATGCACTTTTACATGTATTTAAATGAAAACAGTACAAGACAAAATATTTACCTTATCTCTTTTTTGCAAATACACATTCTAAATATACAGCCTTGCTTGGGTGTAAAGGAATCTGGGAAAGCCCTAATAGATTGAGTAAAAATGGGTCAAGGCTCACCACTCAGCCAAAAAATGTGTGCAAATAATTCAACAGTTTAAAAATAATTTGTTTCCTAGAAAGTGAAAACATTTTATTTATTTCACCTTTTGCAGTGCATCATATTAGCAGATTCAGGAGGTTTGGAGAAATGTGCATAAAGGGCAAGGCCATAAATGACGACTAACTTTTAATATTTTGGATGGTACAGCCAAAGAAGGAAAGGACCACTCAGACTGTTACATGCATAGCATACGAGAGCCATGGTATTAGGTTGTCTTAGTGCCCATAGCATGAGTAACTTGCATATTTGTGAAGGTTATTAATGCTGAACGAAATATAAACACAATTTGGAGCAACATATTGCTGCTGTCAGACGAAAACCTCATATCTCCAAAATGGTAACTTTACAGGAGAGAAAAAAATCTACTTTACTTTTAATGTAAGTCAGTGGAACGAGAATTTTTTCCAAGTCATTTTGGATCATTTCGTTTGGTCCATTCTTCATGAAATGTACACCCAATGTAAAGAGCAACAGGCATTTTCAAATTATGTCAAAAACTGAAAAACGACAAAAATGGCGATACAAGGTTTTCTTCCAACAGCAGTGATGTGCTCCCTTCCAGACAATGTCTTTTTCAGGGACGTACATGTGGAATTTAACAGGACAATGCCAAGCCACATTCTGCATGTTACAACAGCATGGCTGCATAATCAGACAGATTGCAGTCCAGGATAAATCTGAAAGCAGAGATTTTCAAACTGATTTATTACCATGTCACACTGTCCCAACTTTTTTTAAAATTGAGGTTTGTAATATATAAATATGGTAATATTTTAATATTCTTACTATATCGTCTTGCCTCAAAAATACTGCCATTGTATTAGTAAACAAAACATACACATTCTGGCACAGCTGTTTAGACAGCTGCTGATCTCTTCATTAGCATGTGCATGTCCAAGCCTCTAGTCTATCACATGATCCAAAACATCTTCACACCCCAGTGTCACCACAAAGTGTTTTATTCCAGAATATTTAAGGCAATTATGAAACCACTGCATAATTACAAGAAAACACTCAAGCACCACACACTGAAGAGAATCCATCTCAATATTGGATAATTTTGGCAACCTGAAAGTTATAAACTGCATATAGAATTTATGGTCCATTTTCTGTAACTTAATGCCACTGGTGGCAAATACATGCCAAACATTCTTTGAAAAAACATCAACAACAACAAAAAATATTACATACAAAAATAAAAACTTTACATTAAGCATGACAGTCTAATGTTTACTATGCATCATTTTGCTTCAAGTAACATCAGACTAAACAATGGGCTATATCACAATTAAGACATACAAACAAAAAGCAACACTATTCCCAGCAATTTCTCCTTAAATGAAAGCTGCAGTGTTCATGACTCAGTTAATACTGACATCAACAGTAAACACATTATTTGTAAAGGGGTGTTGTGCAGGTTTAAAAACGTTATTTAGACAGCAAAGGCCTCAGAGAAACCAAAGAAGGTTTACAGTTAGACTGTTCTATAGGCAGCGGTGGAGAGCAATGGTGAATAGGCATGCAAGGTAAACACTGAAGGATGAATTGCATTTCATCAAGGTAGCAGTATATAATGTCTGTTTGGCACTGACAAATGAATCAAGGGCACTCCGAGCAGACCTCTAGGAGGTCTTTAATCACAATCCAATCCTTCTCAAAGGCATTTAAACGTTCTACTCATCTTAAAACTTGTGCACAAATCTGTGTAGCAGCTTGGATGTTTAAGAAACATGAAAAATAATGACAGAAAAAAAAGAATAGCCGACTAAGCTTATGCTGGTACAATAACACCTCTCCATCATCTGCTATCTGCAGTACAATCTCAATTTCAAATCTTTCTCGTCATACCATAGTCATTTCTCCTGTTGCCAAGCTACACCTCCTCGTCATCCTCCCCCTCTTCCTCGTTCTCAGGCAGCTGCACCTTCACCCAGCCATCTGTGGCCAGCCCGTGCTTCTTTTGGTGCCGTTTGTAATTGTCCCAATGGCCCGTGGTGTAGCCACATTCCTGGCACTTGTGAGGTTTCTCGCCGGTGTGGCGCAGCATGTGGCGCTTTAGGTTCATGCTCTGGTTGCAGCTGTAGTTGCAAACGGCACACTGGAAAGGCTTAGCCCCCGAGTGCACCCGCTGGTGCCTCTTGAGATTTGCCAGGTTCCCACAGGCATAATCGCATAGGTGACACTTGTAGGGCTTTTCGCCTGTGTGCACACGGTGGTGGCGCTTGAGGTTGTCGAAGTGGGCAGATGCGTAGTCACACTGGGGGCACTTGTAGGGCTTCTCTCCGCTGTGGGTCTTCATGTGCCTGGCCAGGTGGTTAGGGTAGTGTGTGAGGAAGGGGCAGGCGGCGCAGGTGTACACTTTGTCCCCCCGTTCGCTAGCAGTGCCTGGTGTATCTTTCGTGAGCATCTCCAGAGTGCACTTTGCGCAGATCTGCGCAGAGGAGCCATCCTCGTCATCCAGGGCCAGGCCACACAGCCGGCAGGTGAAGGGAAAGAGCAATGGGGGTAGAGCTGCGGCCTGCGTTCTGGCCTGCCCTTGCTCCAGTGACCGGGGAGAGGACTGCTGCTCTGGCTTTAGGCCTGCAAACGCTTGGAGATACCTGCTGTCGCCTCCAACATTCAAACTTGCTTCTGATCGCATAGCTTCTGACCTCATAGCTCCTGACCTCACAGGTCCTGACAAAGATAAATAAAATTTACTATGTGGTAAACTATGTGCAAGCACCACACTCACTGGATTTGAAAAAGCCTGAAAGAATTCATAAAACCTCCTTAAATGTGACTCTACAACTTCTTTTCTGTTACGATTACGGAGAGCAACCGTTCAATGGCATTTCCACCTGGACACTCTTACAAACCAGCATGGTTAACTATTCTTGTTTAATGCAGCAGAACAGGCTAAATGAGGTAGATATTCAGTCACTTTTAGGATACCCCTTTAGATGCATGTCCTGATTTAGCAGCACAGCAACCAGACAAAAAAAAAAACGCAACTTGGTGAGGTCATGGTAACTCTTCGGACCGACAATAAAAAAGGGACTTACCTTCATTTGAGGCACTGGGAACATCTTGTCGTTTCTGGCCCACAACAGGACGTCGGAGGCTTTGGCCACTCGCTGGTCGCTGCATAGTCTGAGCAGGATTTGTGACCGTATGCATACGCTGGTGTCTTTTCAGGTTCCCCAGGGAACTGCAGGCAAATGTGCAGTGCTCACATTTGTAGGGTTTCTCCCCGGTGTGGATACGCAAGTGCCTCTGTAGGTTCACCAGCTGAGCAGAGGCATAAGAACACAGCGGACACCTGTACGGCTTCTCACCATTATGAACCTTCATGTGCCTCTTGACGTGATTTGTGTAGCGTGAGGAGAAGCCACATAGCATGCATGAGTGGAGCTTCAGGGACCCGTCCTCGCTCCCCATTCTCTCTGTGCCAATCCCTGCAGGTTGTGAGCCAGAGCCTGAGCCCGAGCAGAGTCCCCGCTGTGCCCTGTCTACCACGCCACTCATGTTCCCTTTGCAGCAGCGCAGGCAGTACGGCCCGACCAGGTCCATGCCCGGTCCCAGAGGCTCATCCAGGAGCTGAGTGCAACCCCTACAGGAGAGGTATGGGGGGAAGTTGGGCTCAGACGTCCCCTCTTCATGCTCATTCTCGACAGCACGGAGGTCATCTGCGTCACTCTCCATGCTGAGACGACTGAAGGAGGAGCTCTCTTCGTCTCCCAGTTGGAAGCTAGGCAGACTGATATCAGCTGCACATGGTAAGGTCAAAAACACACAACAGGACATTAACTTAGACTGTGCAGCTGTGCAAAAAAAATAATAGACAAAAGAATACAACCCAAAGTTTTCTTTTCCATAAATGTAAATCTTAACTGTTGTCTTAGTCCTATGCAATAAGTCGCCCTCCAAAAAAGGGGGCTTTGCATGTTTTCACACACCTCTGACAACTGTCAAACATCAGCATAAAAGAGCACGATTTTTTTAAAGAACATTTGGTTTTTATACTCACGCAGTTAAAAAATTTAAAAGATGCCTCAGTATCCTTACAAGAAACAAAGGAAAAAGTACATTGTGATGAAGAAACAGAAAAAGCTTCAGCATTTTCGCATACTGTCTGTCTAAGAAAGGGATCTCTCTTGTGCAGCCCTCTCCTCACACATGGAAGAACCGAGTGTGCGACTGAAGCCTGAGCTGGCCTTTATATTGGGCTTTTCAGAAACCCTCAGTGGATGATTACCCAGCCTAATGATAATGATGATGACTATAATGGCTCTGCTGATGATGATGAGGGGGTGGTGATGATGATGATGATGATGATGATGATGATAAAGACACCAAGAGGAGATGATGATGATGATGATGATGATGGTGATGATGATGGTGATGATGATGATGATGAATAAATGCTTTCCTGTAATGGTGTCCTTGATGATGATGGCTGTCTTGATGACCCTTATAATGGTGGCACATTGCTTTTTTTCCCCATGATTTGCTATTTTCAGATTGTGTGCTCTGACAGAATGCTACAGCCAGAGATATTTCTAGAATGCTGAGCTCCATCTTTCAGCTGTGCATGAAAAGAACACTCCCCCCTACAGACAATGCTATCTGAACTCGAACTTTAAATGCCCATATTTGTATTATAAACAAACAGGGCAAAGAAGAAAAAAGCATTTAATGCAAGCAGCAAATTCAGTCTGTAAGATGTGACATTAGCTATTAGGATCATGGTCATAATATCACAATACCACAAATGACACTGCTTAGGTCATTTAATACAAATATTGGAATAGACTTTCATCCACAAGTCACATCATCTTTGGCCCAAGTATATCATTTTATGTTAGGCTTGGCATTAAGAAAAATTTAGATTGATTCATAATAATAATAATCATAATATTAAGATGTAGGTGTCAAATGGAGGCTGAACAGCTGGCTACATAAATATTTTAAAATCGTTATATTTATGGTATAACAGAATTTCAACTATAAGAATTTTTTTTTACCTTTCATTCATTCTTTTTTTATACCTCTCTAATGTTTAGCAAACTGTTGCAATCTATTACAAGAACACTAAAATAGCTATTGTATAGAGATTTGCTGGAGTAGACAGGGAGTGTTTTTCTGTTGAACTTATATTATATTGGATATCATGATTCTATAGAGGCGTAGTTGATTATAATGCCTGTGTAACCCACATTTATAGAACACTTCTTTTCATTTGTCTGCAGATTGACATGAGTGTGGGACAGTTTTGCTTTCTTGGCTCTTCAAGATTGGATTTCAGTGTTAACTAAATAATTTTCTTTCTGTGAAATTTTTACAATGTGCTTTACGAAGTAGGTATACAGAGATTCTATGGGTTTCTTAGTAATAATGTGGTAGACTACACCACTGCTCTGGTGAAAATGCAAAAATCTCGTCTCACAGGGCCAACTGTGCTCTCCTAATGAGAACCTTGATAAACCAAAAGTTTGTTGAACTTTTGGTGATGGATTGTGGCAAAATCTGCCGTGAACAGGGCTATGCATGCTCCAAAGGCCCCATTGCCCCTCACTTTGAGCTCTGCCTTCGTGAAGGTGATGGATTAGTTTAGATTAGTTTGTTCCCAACCTACTATGTTTATGGTCTCACCCACATTTAGCCCACAATTTATTATGTTTGTCCAAAGATGTTCTCATTCCAGATCACATCTGGCCCCATGAGACTACGACAAGAAAAATAACCTGAGCAGTATCTTCCATGTTCGACAAGCATTGTACAAAAATACACTCCTGCAACTATTTTCTGAAATCTGAAATTACTATTCTGGCTATGCAAAAACACAAAACACACTTGCGTGGTATTTTCACTCACTAAACAAATTTAAAAAACTAAATTGCTAAATGAAATCGTCACACAATCTAGACGTCACTGTATTTCCCGGTAATGTATGAGCTTTTGTTCACACATGAGTTGTCTCAGTAATTACTTCAATACTGTACTAAGTCTCATGCAGATAAATTGTTGGGTCAGCTTAACTGGGATTTCCACTCCAGGTCACGTTCACATTTAACCTCTTCATGTTTAATTACCGGTAAATACTCAAGTAAAAGTCCATTTGTGAAAGAGGCTAAAAAACACCAACTAAACCTGGCAATTAACTAGTCTGGGTCAAATAATCAGGATACTTCAGTGTTTGTTCATTATGTTAGTGTTAGTTTCCTTCCTTCAGAAGGTACTACACCAGCCTTGACTGGACTTAATGGTAAACAACGGACATGTAAGTAGTATGAACAGCAGACAGATAAGTGCTTTTAATGATATGGACAATGCCTCCTCACTTTCTACCATTCCTTTCTTTTTCTGCAGTAATACTAAAGCTGAAGGGAGAAATATGCCTAAACTGGTCATTAAAGACAGTACAAATAATTCCCACAATACTAAACACAAAAAAGATGTCACCATTAGACTCATCAAATCCTGTGTAATTAGGAAATTAAAGAAAAACGTACGGTCAGAACACCAATTGAATTGAATTCCTGTATTCCTGTAATTGAATTCCTGTAACCTTCCAAAATACCACTCCCTGCCCCCCCACCCCCAATATGTAGAGTATTAAGCAGAAAACTGAACCTTGCTTTATTCAATAAAAAGTCACTAAATAACAAAACACTTCTGATTCGAGATCTTACTAAAGAGCACAAGCTTTTATGTTTGTAACAGAAACATAGCTAAATGAAAATGGCACAGCAAACGTACTTGAAGCTGAAGCTTGCTTGAATCCTGAAAACTACAGACTTATGAATACAGTAAGACAGAGAAAGTGAGGAGGAGGAGTGGCAAGTAGTTACAATAGTGACTAACTGCAAATATACCACTGTTGGTGAATTTACGTCTTGTGATCAAGCTTCTTGCGATTAGCACTTCTGTGTTGTAAATTGTAATATTTAGACCTCCCAAGCGAAACAGTACAATCCAGTTTCCGAAAAAAGTTGGGATGCTGCATAATGTGAATAAAAACAGGACGCAAATGATGTGCAGATTATTTAAACCCTATATTTAATTGAAAAATAAAAACTGAAAAATTGAATATTGAAATTCTGGAATTTTGTTTTTGATATGTTCATTTTCAATTAAATGCCAGCAACACATTTCAAAAGAAGTTGGGACGGGAGCATGTTTACCACTGTGCTTCATCAGCTCTTCTTTTAACAACACTCTGTAAGCGTTTGGACACTGAGGAGACCAGCTGCTGTAGTTTTGAAAGTGAAATGTTTGCCCATTCTTGCTTGGTGTAGGATTTCTGCTGCTCAACAGTCTGGGGTCTCCTTTGTCATGTTTTTCATTTCATAATGTGCCAAATTCTTACAAAGAGGACAGGTCTGGACTGTAGGCAGGCCAGTTTAGCACCTGGACTCTTTTACTACAGAGTCATGCTGTTGTAATACATGCAGTATGTGGTTTGGCATTGTCTTGCTGAAATAACCAAGGCCTTCCCTGAAAGACATCATCTGGATAGCAGTATATATCGTTTAGCGTTAATGATGCCTTCCTAGATGTGCAAGTCATGCATGCCATGTGCCCTAATGCACCCCTATACCATCATGAAGACTAGCTTTTGAAGCATGAACCTAGAGGATGCACCATCCATTATTTCCAAAAAGAATTTAAATGTTGATTTGTTGCACCACAGGACACTTTTTCACTTCACCTCAGTCCTTAAATGAGCTTGGACCAGAAGGGGAGGCATTTCCGGATCCTGTTACTATATGGTTTCTTATTTCTGGATCCTGTTAATAAATGGTTTCTTATTTGCATGATAGAGTTTTAACTCTGTGGCTGGAGCAATGAACTGTGTTCGCAGTGGTTTTCAGGCATCTCCCTGAACCCATGCAGTGATTTCTACTAAAGAATCGTGTCTGTTGTTAATGCAGTGCCGTATGAGGGCCCAAAGATCATGGCCAGCCAATATTGGTTCTTTTCCGCCTTGACCCTTGCATACAGAGATTTCTCCAGATTTTCTGAATCTTTTAATGATATTGTGACTGTATATGATGTTTTTTGCTATTTTATGTGGAGAAACGTTATTCTTGAATTGTTGCACTATTTGTCTGTGCAGTCTTTCACAGAGTGGTGAACCATCTTATGTTTTCATATCAGACTATTTCTGTATATTGTTTAAAGTCAAAATAGATGTAAGAAAGAAAGTGCCTGAAAAAAAAAACCTACTTTGACAATTGAGTAGTTAAAAAACATTTGTAATAGTGCAATGTAATGACCTGGCCTCTGATCTAAATGCTAGATTAAAAGAAACTCTTCACATTTTCACACTAGTCAAATGGAATAAAAATTAGTGTAAAAATCTGTGAATGAATAAGGAAATGCGCCAGCTTAAGAGAAACTGACATAAATCAGAGCACTTATGGAGGAAAACTAAACTACAGGTATGTTATGATATGTAATTATCAATTCACAAGAGGCCTCTTTCAGTTATTTAATTCGATCTGGGTCATTGTGTCATATCATTTTAAATTAACTTAATGTTCTCTATTACTGTTAAGCTTTATCACATGTCTGTAAAGCACTTTGAGCTGTTACTTGTATGAAAAGTGATCTATTTTATTATTATTATGATCATTATTATTATTTAGTATTTAAAAGCTTTGTCTTTTGTTAACGCTACAATTTCTCAGTGTCACCCTGTTTCTTTGAGCTACTGAGGCAAGATATGTAAGTAAAAGTCATTAAAATGGCAAAGTTTCATAAA